AAAAAAAGAAAGAAATCTAGCAGTGGATCACAACATTTATAGCACAAGAAATAACTGTTGTATATAAGCATCAAAAAGACTAAGAATTTTTCAATACAAAAAAATATTTGCAGTGATTTTAAAGTGCTTTTCCAGCAATTTTCTTAGGGACTCCTGAGACATGGTTTCTTTATTTACTGGATCAGTAAGGCACACAATTAACAATTAAAAATTAATGTTTATTTACAAAGTAAAGGGAAAACCTGTGTAACATGAGAATTTGGCATGGACAAAATGGAGGCCATTTTGTATCTGCTGTTGTACCTTGTCCGGGTTGCTGACGTGCACTATTAAAGTCTCAAGTTAATAGAGCACAAACCCTTCTTGTTCCTCTCCCATGTACCCCCCTTTTTAGATGTGTTTAACTTACACTTGAAGGCTCAGGAAAATTCCACTAATTTGAATCATGTACAATACACCAGGTCATTGTCCAGAGATACAAGTTTGCTAATTTAGTTAACCTGGATTATAACACTTTTCCTAAATTATTGTAAACAGAACAGCATAGAGAAAGGTATTCTCAGTCCTTATATTGTATAGTAGTTTAAGAACCCCTCTCTAAATATTGGTATTTTTATATTCCAGAGATGTACCCAATAGAAAAATTAATCAGTATCTAATTTAATATCCATAAGTATTTTCCTTAGATTTTAATCATATACGGTGCGTTATGTGGATGTCACCGTGCTTCACCATACTTTACCACTAGGTGTCCCTGTGGCTCTGCACCAGGCTTGTCTGGTGGCAAAGAAGGGCAGCATCTCCTCTGGAGGAGGCTCCTCCTGGTCTGCAGGCAGCCCATAGGCTCAGAGCGTCCAGGAAGGAGGGAAGAAAGGCCTGGAAGGTGTCTCTGGCCTCTCTACCAGCTGTAGATAAGCTCTTTGAACACTACCTGCTTTGAGCCCTCAGCCAGGGAGAGGCTGCCTAGAACACCCTTGCTCTGGTGGATGGACGGGTACATGGAAGACCCCTTTCTGCCCTGTGGGCACCCCACTCAGTCCCTCTCGGCCTCCAACTTATGTAACTCCGGAGGTGTCACGGTTGGTGATTTGATTGAAAGATAGTTATTTTTCTACTGCAGAAATGCCTTGGACAAAACCAATTGCTCACTGAATCTTTGCCACAAAATGGAACAGGCTCCCCCAGGCGGGCAGGATCGCCCACCCCTGTCCCAGTCTCGCCCGTCCTGCCTGTCTGTCCTTGGGCTGCCGCTTCTCAAGAAGCCAACCCACAAAGGCAGCTTGCCGCTGCTGCACAGGCCTGTGCTGCCCTGTTGCATGTGCATTGGGAGGTGTGGCCTTTTCTCCTTTTCCTCTAGGAATTCCAGACTGACCATCTATCTACCATGATAACAACAATGAACAAAGGGCTTAGGGGTAAGAGCTACCTGCAAAGACGTGTCATGGAAACCTTCACCATGCAATGCCTTGAACTCAGCTCTGGCTGCTCCCAAGAACAGGTGGCTAGTGGGGTCCTGGACACAAGCACAATGGGGCTGGTGGAGCCACTGTGCAGAGCTACTTGAATAATCACTGGGTCTTCATCAACTCCTTTTATAACAGACCACTCAAGGGCTGACGTGTTGGTAACCTGCATTCCGGTGTCCAATGCCTCACAGCAGCTGAACCCCCCTGAGATGCTTGTGGCCACGTGCTGGCCACAGTCAGAGCTTTGAAAGTCAGTACCAAATGAATGCATAATTGGACACCAAAAATCAAGTGTTACTTCCATGTTTCCTCACCCACATCATCTCATTTCCTGCTGACTCTGGTATCCCCACTAGGCTGGCCTGTCAGGTGTTGGCTGAACGCATACAGATGCAGGCCAGCATCACTCCCATTTTTTCGGATTACTCTGGAAAGGAAGGAGCCTAGCTGCTTTGTTTTTACAGCATTTGCTGGCTGGATTTTTCTTTTGCCTGACTCCTAACCAGAACATCTGGTTAGAGGGACTCAATGCTTTGGGTCCCCAGGACCAGATAGAGTTAATTCTGGAAAATTCAGTACTTGAATATACCTGCCTTATTGTGTACCAACTTACTGGGAAAAAGAGTTAGAAATGCCGGCTCCAGATTTCTCCTTCATTCACAGGTTATTTTGGAAATCCTGTAAGTTACACTTCCTGTTCTGGTTTGGGTTTGGGGGTTTTTTTTTTCCCTTTGGCTGATTCCTGCTGCGTGGGGCCAGCTCTTCGGGCTCACGGCAGGTGCCATTCTCAGGCATGGCCTCCTTTCCACCTAGCACAGCATCTTTGTCTCTGTTCCGTCTCCTCCAAATCCAAGATGATTTTAATTAGTACAGACATGTACAGTCTACAACTAAAGAGTGATTTGTACTAATATGATTTTGATTCTTCCTCTTCTTTGCTGTCCTTTCAAGACACTTGCTGGAAAAAGCTTTAATGCACTTAGTTTTCCTTTAGGTTTTCTATAACTCAAATGTAAAAGACTTCTCTGTACAGTATATATTACCCAATGCATGTTCGTTCTCTACCCTGATATATTGAACACCACACAGTTGTGAACTCGTGCAGTGGGGATGTCCCACACCCAACAGAGGCATCTAGCCCCCTGTGTATAAGGAAAGACAGTTTCCTCTGCTGTACTTGCTTGAGCAGTTTTCTCGTCTGTACATGTGAGCTGTGTGAGATAGATGTGAAAAGTTAAAGGAATGCACTTTCCTGCCCATGTATACAGATCGCCATCTGTACAATGAACTGTATGTATGAAAGCAAATGTACTTATTTATAAATGGGTAACACTTGGAAAAACATGGTGTTGTGCTTTCTCCATTATAATACCCGTGCTGGGAGCTGGCTGCCAAGCTCACCCTCACTGAGGCCTGCAGTGCTGAGGAGGCCTGCCCCAAGGGCAGCTCTGGCAGGCTAAAGGGAAGGCCACTTCCTGACAACTCGGTTGGTCTCTTGTGGGGCATTCAGAGTCACCCCTTCGGGCCTTTGTTCACTCAGGGAAGTTATTAAGCACCTTCTTGGAGCCGGACACTGTGTGTCCAGTAGGCACTCGAGAACTGTGGACAAGAAAAGCTGGTTCTAAAGGCCTGTCAGCAAAGGCTTACAACATTTATTAAGAAAGGGCGGCTTTTTCTTGAGTGGAAGAGGTTTTCTCCAGCCACACTAAGGAGCTCTGAGCTCTTTTTATTTCCTTTTCACAGTTGAAGCTGTACTGCAGTCCACCTACTGTACCCAAAGCCAAGGTGGAGGTGGGCTGCCAGTCTGAGCTGTTAAGGTTAGAGGCCGCATGCTCCAGGTGGGGGCCGCCCTAGCTGTAGTTCCTGAGGTTAACTTACTCAAAGCTGGAAGCCCAGTGTCCAGTGGCTTTATTTTTTCTTTAGAAATATGGCCAGAATTTCCAGTCCTCCCCAGATGGAGAGCTAGGCAAATGAATTGTGGATGGAGAGGTTGCAAATTTTCTGAAACTGGCTGGAGAGTCAACACCTTTTTATAAGTGGCCGGCACTGAGTCGTGCAGCCTCCCACCGCTACCTCTGTCTTAACTTCAGGGACAAGCAAGGAAGACCACTTCCTCTAGACGCCAGCTTGTGCTGAACAAACATCCCTGCTCTGCAACTACATTCACTTCCCCGAAACAACCAAAGCTGGGAAGCTGGAAACCCCAGGCATGCACCACCATCATCAGCCCAGCCTCGATGCCAGACTCACCCTCAAAGAGGAGAGGCAGGACTCTGGAAGGAACTGCCTGCTCGGCCTGAAAACCACCCCTAGGCTGCTCCAGTTCTTTTGCTAAAAAAAAAAATACAAGTAAGTGATTGGCAGAAGCCCCAGCTTTTTGAGGATGCCTGGGACATCGGAAGAAAGGTGAAGGGTAGTGATTACTAAAAAGCTAATTCTTGAATTTGCCCTGAACCTCAACAAAAAGCCACTCAGAGGAGCAGCAAACAGCGAATTCAGCAAGTGCAGGTTCTTAGATCCCAGATCAGACTGTCTCCCTTATTATTTTCATTCCCTAGCTGGTGCCATCAGCAGCCCTTCCCATCTCGATGCTCCACAGGCACACATGCATGTGGCAAGCCTGACACCCCTTCCACAGGCTGGGTGAATAGGCAGAGTTGGGGAACATAGTGCTATTTTAAAAATGGAAGCTGGAGTTGCTTGGAGAAACTTGGAAACTGAGTCCTTCATTTCCAGGAGTAAGGATAAGGTGTTGTAATAAGGGTATCGTGTCTGCAAGGCCCTGTGGTCCCCCATGGAAGAAGCTGTGCTCAGAGTCCGCTGTAATGGGCCACTCTGTTGGGATGCCCAGACTCATGGTAGGGACCCTACAAGTGGCCTCTGATTTGTTCCTCTCACGACTTGACAGATGACATTTGGCACATTCCAAAACACAAAGGAGGAAGCAGATCCTGAGAGTTTAAATTGAGCAAGGTCGTGGAGGCAGGGATGGGACTCTGAATCAGATCTGCCCGATAGCTTCTCCCTGAGCCTGCAGCCCCTTCCTCAGAGGTACCAATCTGAGAACAGCAGGCCATCTGAGCAGCGCCAGAGGAAGCACAGGTGGGTCAAGAAGGCAGCTTGGAGATGCGACTTTGCACTCCTCTGGAGAAACAGGTCTGTGCCAGGGTCAAGAGGAGCAACTTCTGGGGTTCCAAACTCAGTAAGGTGTGAAGGAGTAACCCTCTGGAGGGAGAGGCATCATCCTCATGTCTGGAATCATTTGAATATCCAAAGTTACCCAGGGTTCAGAGGCTGGCCCTAGGGGTGGGAGTGAGGCAGTACACTAGCAGGGTTAAGATGCCCCTGCCCTCACACTGAGAGCTGGCCCTGATCTTGACTGAGACCAGCCTGTGACGCAGATGAAGCCATGTGCTTTGCATGCTTTTAAGCAAATGCAGGTCCACATAAAAGCCTTGATTCAAGAGACTACAGAAGCATAAAGAGCACTGGCTCCTTTTATTGCCACAGTAAATGAAGGTAACAAGCAAGGGATCTGCTGGAGACATTTATTGAATCATTTGTTCCACTACATTGCTCTTCACAGACGACTGGCCACAGGCAAAAGAAAATAAACCACCACCATGAGCTTTGGTTGGGGCAGAGGGCTTTTCGGCTCCTTAGTCTCATCCAGTGTACACTTTGGCAAACAGACCAGTTTACAGACTTCTTTGCAAATAAGGTTCCATTTCTCTTTGTGGCATTAGGCAAGGGAGATTCACAATTGTACTTTGGTAGTTTGTCTAAGGTGGCGTTTTCCCACATGTAAATATTTGGCTCTACAAGTGTGTGCCCGGTGATGAGAGAACTGATGGCACCCCTGCCCTTGCAGAGCACACTGTAGATGGGGACGCACACCCTCGCCGCGGCCAGCTGCAGCGGAGACGGGGAGAGGCTAGGCGGGGGCCCTGGCCATCCTCCTGGGGGTTGTGGGGGGTGCTGGACCAGAGCCGCCACCCTGCGCAGGGGCATCGCCCGGGCACAGGCAAGGATAAGCAATGGGCCTTAACGGGACTAGCCCCTTTCCCTAAGGCAGCTTTTACGTGTGCAGAAGGCAGCTGTTAAGAGAATAGTAGTCAAATTGGGAGATTTTATTTCTTCTTTTAAGTACTGTGTCTGTCTCAAACTGTGTCATGTTCCTCAAAGCCCAAAAAATGAGGAAAACGAGAGGGCAGCTGCCAAGTTACGAAGCACAAGATCAGTGCTCTAATCACGTTATTTCTAGACCAAAGCCAGACTGATCAGCTCACAGCATCACATACGGGGATGGAGGGAGGTTAATCTGATTCTGACTCGGTCCCAATTTCCCACAAAAACGGGCCCGGATAAGAGAGGATGAGGCGTCCCCCCTGAACAGAAGCAGACAGCCCCGCCCTCCTCACGGAAAGGGAACCAGGACAACAGCGATCATTTTTCACTTTGAAAAGACACACGCCTCAGCTGTCAGAGCACAGCCTGGGCGGGCTGGTCACGACCCTGCAGGAGTGAGCAGGCGGCTACCTCCTTCGCCTCCGCCCACTGCCCGGGGCCACTGAAGGCTCAAGGAGGGGGAGGCTCGGGGCACAGCTGGGCCGCAGCCCCGTCCCCAGAGCTTCCCAGGGCCCGTCCTGCCCCACGCGGGGAACCTTGCTCTGAACACCAACATATTTTACCCATCGTGTCACTTCCTGCACTGCCAAAGACCGGGCTCATTCATATCACGTGCTGTTCAGGCTAGCGAGACGCCTGGTTTGGATTCAGTGTTACATAAAGCGAGCTTTGGCTTTGCCAGGCCTGTCACAAAGCTCATGGTTTCTCCCACAGCCTTGTGCTCTCAGCGGCCCCTGAATGTGGCCCAGTATCAGCTGCCTTGGGGGTGTGGGGGGCGCTGCTCCCATCCTTCAGGGACTATGTGCTTCCACAACCAGGGTAACCACCCAGAGTCCAACCCAAAGCTTCTCCATTTGAGGGGCGACGGACAGCAGGATCAGGGGCCTGTGCACTCCTGGCAGGACTCTAAGGCAGCAGCAGCGAGGAAGGGAAAGCAGAGGAGGCCAAGCCCTAAACCCCAGAAATCAGCGCTCAAAAGGGCAGGCTGCCCCCGTGCTCCCACCCACTGGGCTGGGACCCTCCCTGGAGCTGCTAATCCTGCAAACAGCCTCTGGGGGTGGGCTCCCCAGAATCGGGGTGGCTGGCGGCAGGCAGGCCCTTTTCTAGAGAACAAGAGCAGGAGTTACTGGGGGCTGAGGCTGTCGCCTTCCGTCAGCGTCTTGAAGTCCATGGAGAGAGCTTGTTCTTCCGCGTGGGGTGGCCGCCTCCAGTCAGCACGAGTCAAGATGTAGAGCACAGCCATGCCGAAGCCGACCAGCAGCAAGCCCAGCACGTTGGCCAGGACGCCCTCAGGCTCAAACGCGCTGTACTTGGTCCTGCATGGTGAGGGTGGAGGGAAAAGCCACCCAAGGGGTCACCACGAGGCCCAGTACCCTTTGCACCTGGGCCAGAAGGAGGTGGGGTGTTCCAGCCCAGCCCCCTGCACGGCTGGCTGACTCAGGCATGCGTCCAGGGAGGCAGAGGGCAGGGCTCCGTCTCCAGGCCCTGGGAGCACAGGACACTCACCCGAGCTTAAATAGCAGCGCCTCCTTTAGACCCAGCAGGGCTGTGCCCACAGAGAGGAGGAAGATGGCGGCACCAAAGAAGACGTGCTGCGGGCGGTAGCGGCTCCGCAGGGAAAACGAAGCTCCAGGGAATAGGAAGAAGCTGAAGCCCACGAGCCACTGGGAGGAAAGGTATGGCGGTGCCGGGGCCTGAGCTGCCATCAGTCTGACCAAGCCCAAGGCATCCCGGGCAGGGGAGGGCTGCGCACCCCTCCTTCCACCCACTTGGTTCCCTCCCTCATCAGAGCCTGGGAGCCGGGGGAGGCACTGGGCACATACGGGGAGGCCCCTGGCCTCAGTCCATCACACCTGTAGAGCTGGAAGGCTGGGCCTGTGGCCAAACGTATGGGCCATGCCAGCTGGGTGGGCACCAGGTCCGAGGCACCCTCACCCGTAAAACCCAGGCTTCGTACCCTCTGCAGAGCCTGCAGACAGCATCCAGTCGCACTAACGCACCTCTCTCCCTTTGGCCGCCTCTCTGGAGAGGCCCCTCCGTGGCACGCACACCGTTTGAGGCCTGCTTTCCCTACTGCCGCCACCCCCTGGCTGCGGGGCTGAGAGGACTTACCTGCACAAAGCAGAGAACAGAGATGACGATGCCGCACCAGCTGTGCAGGCTGTACAGGTCAGCATAGCCCTTCTTCCTGTGGTAGTCGAACACCGCCACCAGGCCTGGGCCACGGGCGGGGGCGTGTGAGGATGGGCTCACGGGGAAGCGAGCTGGGCGGTGACCCAGGGTCCCCTCCCGCTGGACTGCCTGAGGGGGAGGAGGGGGAGGGAGGGGCCATAACAGAACCAGAATGGAGACGGACATGGAAAGCACAGGCGGGAAAAGGGAAGGTTGCAGCCGGAACTCACCCACCAGGGCGATGATGAACGCAAAGACGTGGAGCAGCCCATGCAGGACTTTGGTTGTGCGTCTGGCCTCGTTTCTGAAGACCCGGTAAACCAGCAGGGCTAATGGGAGGCGGGAGTGGGAATGTCAGCGCTCGGGCCAGAGCGGGGGACCCCTGCCGTGGGAGCAAGGACACACACCTGGGCTGGATAGGTGATCTGGGTCAAGGGTTTGTTGGGGTACCGCAGCCGCAGGAAATGAAAGAGGAAGCAAAGCTCCCAGGCAGGCAGGGTCCCTTGGTTACATGTGCTCTGCACCTGCCCCCCGCCCTGCCCCTTGTAGTCACTGTCCTGTGTTTTAGATTCATCATGCAATCACCCCAAGGTGTCACTAAGTGTCTGAGGTCACGTTTTGGCTATGATGGTCCTCAAATAGTCCAATAGTGAAGCCTGATCAGATATTCACTGCTTTGGTGAACAGGCTTCCTAACAGGGAAACCCCTGTTCCCAAGGGAGAGCTGTGTGGTCCCAAGCTAAGCCCCTGATGGTGCTCAGGTGGACAGGGCTGGTGGCTTTCAGCATGGCCCTCTGCCGCTGAGGGTGTGGCTGTCACCAGGACCACCTCTAGGAAGAATGGGTCAAGCAGGCAGAGATCCAGCTTTCTAGTTACCAGAAGCAGAAGCCGGTCCCTGGCCTCGAGGCAGGGTGGGGGCCAAGCCCCGCTTTGCTCCTACCCCAGAGAGGAGTGCTAGCTCCAAGTTACATCACCCCCACCCCTGCCACACACACACACACACTTTCTTTCCCCCAATTTCAAACCACCCTGCAGAAGACGGCCTCCGAGCACAGCCTAGCCCCTGCTTTCTGCTCCGTGAAGCACACAGTCCCTCGGACGATCCTTGTTGGAACAGGCAGCCAAACCCCTGAGACAAGTTGGCAGAGTTGCCCCTCCCAACCTCAGGGCCCCTGATTTGGATTCCCAGTGTCCTCAGGTTCTAAGCCAGCTTCCTTCCTGTCTTCCGTAGACTCTTAGATTCGTCTAACAGCAAGAGGCCTCTCAGTGACAGTGTTCCTGCCAGCGCTCTCAAGAGGGCTGGCTCCCAGGAGCACTGGGCCAACTCACCGTCCCCCTGCAGGAAGATCAGGCCAATGATCATGCAGAGGGGATGCACATTAAACTGCAGGGCACTCTCCCAGGCGATGCCGCCTCGGTACAGACCCAGCCAAGCGCCAGTCGTGGCCACCACGGTCAGGCCCAGCAGCTGGGAGAAAGCCACGTAGTAAGGTAGCGCCGCGGGGCGGGGGGTGGGGGCCGTGCCAGCCAGGCTCTCCATGCTGGACGCAGCTGCTGCAGGAAAGGAAAGAGGGCCAAGCTGAGGAGCAGCCCCCACCTCCAAGAGCTGCATCCCGCCCAACCCCCCCCACCTCCCTCTCCACCCCAGCCCCATGCCCTGTGCTGAAGCGGTGCTCACCATTCCCACCCGAGGCCCCCAGGGCCCACCATCCAAGCGTCAGTGGGAGGACCCGGCCTTCCCCAGGACAGACCCACATGAGGTGCAGGGAGGGTGCAAGGGAAGGCACTCCACCCCCCAGCGAGAGCAGGAGGCCCCACACCTGTGTGCTACTCTGCTTCATGGGCCCCTGGGCCACCTCAGGTGCAGCTCACAGTGACTTACAGAGAAGTGAGCCAGTTCCTTGAAGGTACCGGGTTAGTCATAGTGTTCCCTCCAGATGGGTCATAAGGTACAGCTGGACTGAGGAGCGAGCCCACCTCCCCAGCTGCAGCTGGACATGGAAAGGAGGCCTGCCCGCCCACGGCCTGGACCACAGCCCCTTCTTTCCGCCCCTGGCAGGGCAGGTAGGATCTGCGCTCCGCCCTCAGACTCCAGGAACGAGGCCTACAGGGAATGACTCCTCACCACTCAGAGCCCAAGGATGTTTCCTACACATCACTTAACTCACACCGCCCCTGCCTGAGGTCCATAAAAAGGCACGTTACTGTCCCTGCTCTGCAGGGGGCTGGGGGAAGCCTGCCTAGGGTCCACGAGGTAAGCATATTCCTTGGCTCCTCTGCCCCGTCCTCTGGGTGTTTCCACAGCCTCACCCCAGCTCAGGATGGCCACCTTCGTGCCAGCTCCTCACCCTCAATCTGCTGGTGCTCCTGACCCCAGGCCAGCCCAAGCCCACAAGCCAGCGTCCATTCCTCTGCCTTGGTGCTGGCAGTGGCCTGCGCCCACAGAAAGGTGCTGCCACAGTTTGCAGAGGGCGGAGCCCTCACGTCCCTCCCCAGGTGGCTGCCCACTCACCTCTTCCCCTGCCCTCACTGTTCTCACTGTCCCCGCAAGGGAAATGTCCTGCCTCCCCCCATACAGAGAGACAGCTGAGCAGATAGCCAACAGCCTGGATTACCCCCCACCCCACCCCCGCAGAGCTCATGTGCCCCACTGGTGCCCCAGGATTGGTTTCCAGGGGGCCCAGCCTCCCCCTCCTGACAGCCGGACTGCTCTCTCGGCCACATCTCACAGCTGTTGGGAATTTCACCATTTAAAAAAGCTGGGGCAGGGGTAGTGTTAATAATACACACCCCCAACACTAAAAGGCAGATTAACAAAAAAAGAAAAAAATTATAGGTAGTCAACATTTTGATTTATATCCTAACATCATTTTTTCCTAGAAACACAAGTATTCTTTTGTAGACATAGGATTATACCAAGTTCTAGCCTGCTTTTTTTAACTTAATAGATCATGCATCTTTTCATGTCAGTGAATATACATCTATGTCATCATTTTAATAAATTCACAGTATTATCTGTGTCTTCACCAATCCTCAAATCCCCTATTGTTAAACATTTAGCTAGCTTTTATTTTTAAAACATTATGTGGTCATCTTTGCACACTTGTCTAATTAATTCCTAAGTGGAGAAATGCAATTCTGCAGCCAGGGCTCTGTTCTTTTTTTAGGTTATTGATATATTCTGTCAAATCATCTTCCAGAAACACTCCCATGGCAAGTGGGAACACCTGTTTCCAGAAGCCCTGTCACTGAACCCCTTTTTCTGGATCCCCTGCCTCTTTCCTTACCTTTCACCTCTACAATGGCAACTCTGAAATCTAGTGCCTCTGCTGCCCTCTCCCCCAAATACAAACCCCATTTCTAACTGTCTTTTGTCCATGTCCACCTGGGCATTAGTGGCCACATCAAACTCCTCTCCCTGTCATAACTACATCCTCCCCTGGCCCTGCAGGTCCTCTGCCCATCTGCTGGTCCCAGCTCTGACACCTCGGCAGCCTGGCCGCCAGATCCTAGGGGCTCAGCCGCAGGCCTCCCGCCACCACTTCTGTCCTAGCCATCTTCACTGCTCCCCGCCAGGGCATGGAGCTTCCGCCCCATCTCTACCCTCCCCCATCTGCCTGACCCACGGGGCACTGGGACAAAGCCCACCCCCCAAGTCACTGCCCCGCCCAGCACAAAGGGCCACCCACTGCCTCCAAGGAAGTGCCAGCCCCGTCACAAGCTCCCACCTCAGCTTCATCAGCGTCCCGCTGCCTTCTTACCAAGTGCCCTCCGAGGAGTCCTGCTGGAACCTGGCTCTCGGCACCAGCTGCCGCTGTCCCTCCACCTCACGCTGCCCCTCCTCTGCAGCCCAGGGCTGGCTGGCAGCCTCCTCACCTTTGCTGCTCTGCCTCACCATCCACCCACGTGTGCCTCTCTGCTCCGTGGCCCTGGGGGCTCGCCGACTCCAGGGACTGTGTCTTCCTCCTCGGGCGTCCTCGGGGATCTAATCCCTTAGCCCGACTCTAACAGGAAAATTTACTGAAAAGAGAAATGCAGTTCTGTCCTCCCCTCTTTTATTAGATTCATCCCTAGAGAGCCTGAGGCACAGTAGGATCTGATTAGCTCCGACTGGGAGGGACAGAAGGAACAGCCCTGCTGCTAGGCGACCTGCGCAGCTCCTCTTTTTCAAGCCCAATGCCGAGGACAGAGGTGGGGCTCAGGGCAGCAAAGCTGTTGCGCCCTGGATCTTGGAGCTACTCGGTGGGGGTTAAGCAGAGCTAGCTTTCCCTCCCCGCCCACCTCTTAATGAAACAGGCAGCAAAGTGAGGTTCTCTGCATGGCTGGGATACTGTGGTTTACAACAGGAAGTATATGGATGGAACTCCTAAACCCCTTGGAATTTGCCAAGGGAAGAAAGGGATAAAAGGGGTCTTCATTAAGTTAGTGAGCCCCACCTCCCCAGACAACCCAAGGATGGGGGCTGGTGGTGCCAGAGGAACCAAGTGATAGGAAGGCTGGAACCTTCAGTCCCATTCCTCGACCCCTGGTAGGGAGAGGGGCGGACACTGAGCCCTGTCACCCACGGCCAACAATTTCGTCAACCATGTCTCATGGAGCCTCCATAAAGCCCAAAAGGCTGGTGTTTGGAGAGCTTCTGGGGGAGGATGGCACACCCCAGTTCCCTTGAGCTTGAGACCCTTGCAGACTTCACTGTAGGTACCTCTTCCCTCAGCCTATCCCTGAGTTACATCCTTTTACGATAAAACAGTAAATCTAGTAAGTAAAGTGATTCTCTGAGTTCTGTGAACCACTCTAGCAAATTAATTGAACCTGAGAAAGAGGTGGTGGGAACCTCTTTTACCTGTAGCTGCCTGGTCAGAAGCATAGGTGACAACCTAGGTTTGTGACTGGTGTCTGAAGGGGGACAGTCTTGTGGGACTGGGCCTTAACCTGAGGGATCCCCAGGTAGACAGTGTCAGAACTGAGTAAACTGTAGCGCACCCAGTCAGTGTTTGCTGAGACCTGGTGAAGCACTTGGTGCTGAAAAGAAAACCCACGTTGGAATAGCACAGTGACTAAAGGAGCAGCTTTACCATTCCACACTGCAGATTGATAGCCTGAATCCCCTTGGAAGTCGGAGCCCTAATGCTGTTTGCACACACACTGGTGGAGTAGCGACGGTGTTTGTGTGCTTTGGGAGAACAAGGAACCTTGACTAGGAGGCCCCTACTGGCACTCCACATCCCCGCATTCTCATCTAACCCCCACAAAAACACTGTGAGACTAGGAGTACAATCCCCATTTGACAGATGAGGAAACTGGGACTCAAAGAGGATAAATGACATGCCCCAAATCAGCAACAAATAGTTGCCCACCTCAGTTGTTCATTGAGAACCTACTATATGCTGGCCATACAGGGCTGAATGCTGGAGCGGTACAGTTAAGACTTGGTCCCTGCCTTCAGGGGCTTGCAGACAAGTTGCAGAGCAGATACAGATTTTCAAGTAAATGGGAGAGTAAGAATTTGAGCTATGAGATAAATTCAGGCCTCCAAAGAGCAGGTGCTGAGCAGCCAGCTGTCTGTCGCTGATGTGGCTTTGCCCAGTAACAGATAGAGCTGTCATGCTTCCCAAATACTGGAGCCACTCTAGGACCTGAATGGGCGCCTGCCAAGGAAGGTGCTTTGCATCAGGGCCCCAAGGTGGACTCCCCTGCCCCATGCCAGTCCCCCTGCATCCTCCTCACCCCTCAAAGAATCATGGTCCCAAGCAGTTTAAACCCATCCCAGCATGGGCACTGGTGTCCCTGGTGGGCTCCCTGGGAGAAAAGGCCCCAGGGTGGGAATGGAGGTTAGGAGAGAAGCAGTGACGAGAGCTGCAAGATTTTCATGTCAGTGGCTCCATGGGCACAGGGCCCAGGGAGCTAGGCATCCACGAGGAAGCGAGACAAAGAATGACTATTGGAATTACAAAGGCCCAAGCTGTCATCCCCATGTCCCTTTCCAATTTGAAGGTAATTCTAAGTCCAAGTATAAGGGGTGACAGGAAAACTCCCACCAAACACGACCGTCCTGGTGACTTCACAAGCCGTAAGATCCAAGTGTGGAAAATCCAGATGTACAAAAAACTGAAGTGGTGAGTATTGTGCTTTGTAGAAGATGAACTGAAAGATTCCTTTAGTAACAGCAATCCTCCTTCGCTTATTCAGTTCTATGTAACTGACACCCTGTCTTTGCTCTGAGGGTCTCCTTCCCAGGCTGGAGAGAGAACGTATTTCAGTGGCTCTGGTTGCAGTCTCACCCACCCACTCACCCACGCAACTACATCCTCAAGCCTTGGAATCAGTTGAGATTCACCCCCTAGTAAGCAGAAGCCTTTGACTCACGCTCCCTGATTTCCCAGCCTGTGAGAACACTCTCTCACCCTTTGCTCCTCACTGGCTTGGCCCCCAGAATGCCTTGGTCCTCCTGGGTTCCCAGAGCAGAAGTGTGGGCAGCAGTGTCAAGGGCCTGGAAGCAGCCCCTCTCCACACAAAGGTCACCTCTGCGCAGCAGACCATAGTCTTGGGACCAGAGGGGGCCCGTGTCACCCTTCAAGTGGCCACCCTTCTTCCTGTGCTATGTGATCAGGGTAACAGTAGCTCTGGCAGCTTCTGGAACCTTGGGCTGAGGCTTTCACTTCTCCCCCCCAACACACTTGCAGGCAGACACCACTTAATGCAATCAAACGGGGACAGGAGCTACCCCCAGGGCTGGAATGTGCTGAGAATCACTCTCCGTCCCCATGCCCATTGTGTGTCATCAAAAGGCCACCAGGCCTAATCGCATTATGGGAACCAGACACTGCCCATGCCCTACAGCCTGGAAGCAGGGAGCCTGGCCTGGCCACAGCCCTCCTTATCCACAGCAGGGATTTAATTGGGTTAGAGAATATTGTACTGGGGGTGGAGGCTAGATCTTTTCCTGATGAGTGAGGGGGAAAATGGCTCAATTGTCCTAGAATGGGATGGAATAGTAGGCAAATGAAGGCTGAGCTGTCAGGCAGGGTACCAAAGTAGCCTGCAGGAAGAAAGCAGAGCTTAATGTTAGACACTGAGCCAGCTCTCCACACAGGAGGCTCAGTGCCAGGGTTCCCAGTACTTAACAGGGACCCACATGTGTGGGCAATAATTTATGCTATAATCAAGAGAAAAGGCTTTTAGGCTTGAAGAAATGTTTTAATTTTTAACTCAGCCTAGATTATTTTTGTCTTAATACCCAAGTAATTGTAAAATATACCTTTTATTTGGTTTTTATATGGAAGAAGGGGCCCAGGAAGGCGAAAGTGCCCAGGGCCCATGAAAGTGACGGTGTAGCCCTGGTCGCTGATGTGATCTCGGTGCCAGCCCCGTGGTGCATGACTGCTGCTGGGCTAGTCCACCCCTCACTGAGCCTGCTTCCTCATCCACAAGGTAGGGGGATCTTGGGTGCCACTTTACTGGCCTATAGCAAAGATTTGGTGGGATAAATATGTACCCATGCCTAGCACCGCGCCTCCCACACAGTAGGCATTCAACCAAATAGCAATTTAACAAAAATCAAATCTGCACATCAGAACTGTTGACACAAGCTGTGTGAGGCCACAGAGAGCACTACCCCCTCTAGTAAATCCACATTGCCCTTCTGTCTACCACCAGTCCCCTCACATGGCAGAAACCCCTGGGTCTGGGGCTGATTCCTCCACCAACACCTTCTAGTGCTGCTGACCCACTCCATATTAGCAGAAGCCAAGCTCTGCCTGCCAAGAGGTGGTGGCCAGGACAGGGAAGCAGAGCGATCCGGAGGTGGGTTACACCTCGCGTCTGGGAGGCTCCTCCTGCCTGGAGGGGCGGGGTGGAGGGTGGGGCTGCAGAAGCCCTTCTCTGTAGGAGTCTCACCCAGGCATTCACAAGTTGCCGGTATTTTCTGTCTCAATCCATTTTCACGAGACAAATACGAGGTATCTCTGAGAAAGTGGCAAAGCTTTGTTTTTTAAAGTTGCTGAGAAAACGAACAGAATCGAGGCGTCCAACAACTGAGCTTTGTTTAACGAGTCTCAAAATCCCCAGACTGCTAAGGTAGAGGGCATGAGAGGGGAGGGGCAACCCGTGGGGGGACCTGGGAGGGGGCTTGGCCTCTGCAGACATGTCAGTACTCCAGGGTCCCCATGGACCCTCCTCCCTGCGGGGGCCCACGGAAAAGGGCAGGCACAGAGGCAAGGTGGTCCTGCTATCACGCCGGAGCCAGAGGCAGCAGGGGACCCCTTCCTCAGCCCAGTTATGCACCCCTGTACCCACAGTTCAGGGCCCACCAAGGCCAACCCAGCGAGGAGGATTCTCAAGTGAGAAACTCCTACCCACAGCCGGGGATGTTCCGGGAGAACCAGGAAGGGATCTACCAGCTGGGCATTTCACCCCAAGAGGGAAAAGGCGAGGTCAAGGGAGGCCCAGCAGCCAGCAAGCAGTCCTGGCCGACCCGGTTTCAGGTTTCAGACAGTCGTGGCAAATGTTGGTTGAGCCACTTCGTCCCTACCTTGTTTCTAAAGTGCCGTGGCACCATGGATCAACGTGGCATCACCTGCCAGTCCATTCTCACTTCCGCAGAGGCCCAGCACAGAGGCACCCCCGGCGCGAAGGCTACAGCCCAGGGAGGAGCAGGACAAGCTCCCTAAGCCCCGGCCTGGCTCCGTGGTCCCCCGAGCCCAGGAGGCAGGTGAGGAGAGGGGCAGGTGCGGCGGCAGGGAAACGCTCGCTGCGGCCCGGAGAGCCTGGCCTGAGGGGCGGGCGCGGCCGGGCCCCAGCCCCCCAACACCTGGGCCCCTTCCCCGCCCCCGCGCCGGGGCCCGCCGCGCACCCACCGGCCCCGGCCGCCTACCTGGCCGGGCGCGGGGCCCGGAGCCCGGAGCCCGCTCGTCCCCTCGGCGCCGCGCCGCCTACCCGCCAGGAGCGCCCCGCGCCGCTGCGCCCGGCAGCTCGGCCGGTTCTGCCAGCCGCGCCCGCCCTGGCGCTGCGGCGTCGCCATGGGGACCGGGCGGCGGTGGCGGGCTGGCCGCGAGGCGGGCGGCAAGGGTCACGCGACGGGCGGGGGCCGTGGGGCCGCTCCTGTGTCCCGGGGCCGGGCCCCCGTCGGAGCCCGGGCCCAAACCCTGACGCCCGCGGGGCAGGGGCTCCTGCGCAGGGCCCTGCGGGGCGAGACCCGCGCCCACCGGACTCGGACTTTTGGACCCGGGCTCGGGTGACCTTCCAGATTCAGGCCCCGCGACCTGGCTTCCCGAGACCCCGGGGTTCGGGGGCGCACGGGGGTCTGCGAGTCCGGGGGTGCGTCAAGGAGCTCTCGGGGCCGAGGCGGGGCGCGCAGGCCGCAGGCGCGGCTTGGGGCTGGGCCGCCGGGGCCGCCCGGAGGGAGGCAGAGGTGCGGGGTGCCCGGCCTGCACTGCGGGCCTGCCCAGGCCTGGTCCCCGCGCTGCCTCGGTCCTCCCTCCAGCCTCCCCTCCCTTCCCGTCGCCCCACCGGCCGCAGGTGGCCACTAGGTGTCAGACACGGCCCGGGCTTGGGCCCACGCTGCCGCTCCTGCGCCTGGGGGACACGCCTCCGGGCTCCCAGCCCCCAGGGAGGAGATAGCACCGTACGGGAGGCTGGTACCTTCCCTTGTTCCGCACCCCCACCCCCGACACACACACAGGCATGTTTTGCCCCCTTTTCCCAAGCCAGAGGTCCTTCCTAATACTACCTGCCCTCAGGCAAACCAGCCTAAGGATAAATATCAGTTCACACCAGCCTCTCCGAAGGCCCAAACTCAGCAGCCTCCCCTGCCCCAGTCACTCAGGCTCAGGACCAGCCTCTACCACAGCCCCGTGTCCAGGAAATGCTGAGGGTAGATAACAAGTCCAGCTCAGACTTCCTACAAGCTCGGAACAAAAGGTTCTTTCCTGTGGGTAACTGGCAAGACTCACCGAAGGCCTGGGGGTAGGACGGAAATGGGGTTTCCTCCCCTGGAGACATAAATGAGCCTCAACAAAGGGACATCCCTCCCCCACCTGCCCCCAGCATGGTGGGCTTCCCGTGGACAGTGGCTGCTAAGAATTTATATTTATCCTTAGGCTAGAGGTTCTTGGAGGGCCCTGGCCAAGGTGGGCCTTGGGGATCCTGTAACCCCAGACAGAGAGAGCATTCTCTCAAGTACATGGCAAGACCCCCAAGGGTGCCCACTGCCCTGGGCACACCTTCCAACAGGGCAGACGTAGTCGGGTCCACCCCCTCAGAGTGACCAGCTTAAACCCTCCTAGAACATAAATTTCATTGAGGTAGCTTGAGGGAGCTAATGGACATTTTAATTTAAAAACAGCCTCATTAGCTTGCCAACAGGCAAACAGAAGGCAACAAATGCTTTGTGAGTTGAATGTGGAACTGAGCCATTTCCTATTATTCGGGCGTGTGTATTTGGCCTCTGAGGAGGACTGGGGCGGGCCAGGCAGCCCAGAAGAGCAGAGCCTCTGTGGGAACCCGACTCGAGAGCTGAGCTCCCCACTGTAAGGCTTTCATGAGAGAGGCTCGTGCTGAAGCAGGCTGGGGCCCTTTGGGTCCCCCCACCCATGGCCCTGCAGCCCTGGGATGCAGCACTTTCCTCTCAGGAGGGTGAGCACACCCTGCCAACAGGCTCTCAGGAGTCTGCTTAAAGTGGGGAGGGCACAGAGATGGCGCTCTGAGGTAGGGTACCTCCATGGAGACCAGCCGCATGGGCACTTTGCTCTTAAGGGCGCAACAGTCCACTCAGCCATTTTAAGGAGCAAGTGATCCCACCAAACTGTGCCAGAATGCTGCCAGAATCCCCAGCCCAGGATGGCAGGCACTCACACTCCCTTCCCCACCTCTCCCTGCTGCTGAGGCTTCTGCCTGAGAAGACAGAGACGCACCCAGCCTACAGCTGGGGCCAGGCCAGGCTTTTTAAGGCCCTTTCTTGAGGACAGAGAATGTGACCTGTGCAAATCCTTCCCTTCCTGCACTCACAAAGCTACACTAGCCTGTATGTTCCTCAGACTCGCTGGGTTCATGCTCACCTCTTCTTGCAAATGTTCTTCCCAATCATTACCTGGCTCTTCATTCAAACCTCAGCTCGGACATCCAGTCCTCAGGAAGGCCTCCCTGGACATCCAGCCCAGCAGCTGGGGTTGGAGGTTGAGATGTGGGGTGATGCACGGGATGAAGTACGCTAGCCACAGCTCTGGGAAACCACACCTCATGTTCACCCTGTTCTTTGGCCAAAAGCATTTAAAGAGCAGGAAGAGCCAATGCAGTGAGCAGAATGTACCTTGTAAACAGGACCTCAGATCCCCCGAGCACCTGGCTGATCACGTCTGCCCTTCCGAAGTTACCAGATTTAGAAAGAAGGAAAAAAACAGGATGCCCAGTTAAATTGGAATTTAATTTTTTGGCATGTATCCTACAAACTACAAGTAATATACTAAAATGTATTCATTGTTTATCTGAAATTCAAATCTGAGTGTCCTATATTTTATCAATCCTCCCTTTGCTCCTGCATGGGAAGGACAGGAGAGGGGACTCCTAGCTGTTCTGGCCCCTCTCAGCAAAGCTTCCCCACCCCCAACAGGCTGAAACAGCCAGTTAGCTCCTGTTCAGCACACGTGTCAGGCACACACCTTAACCTTGAGCTGCAGAGAACAGAAGGCCTAGGAGACTGGGTTCCCCAGTCCAAAGGCACTGTAGGATACACAGATTTGATTTATTCATTACAATAGTTCTGGTCAAGTCCCTTCAATGCACCAGGTGCTGGGCCACACTGGGTAACAGTGAACATGACAGGCACATCCCTGTACTCTCAGGCCATAACAATCAGCCCATAGAAAGGGGGCTTAACCCAGATGTGGGGTGAGGGGGGTCTCCAGGCGGGGAGGAGCGCAGAATCAGAGCTCCAGGATGTGTGCTGACGACACACATCCCCCATGAACGTGGCCCAGGGGCAGCAGGGCGAGGCGAGGGCGGAAGTGTTCCCACTGAAGGAGCAGCTGAAGGGGCAGGAGTGGTGCTGGAAGGCCGGGGAGGCCTAGCTCGTACACCTCGGGGCCCCGGGCCACAGTGGGCATCAACACGCCTGAACCAGCTCTGGGAGGAGGGCCTTGCTGGGATGGCACATAATAACTAAAGCCCTGAGCAGTGCACAGAGGGAGAGCAGCCTTCGGCTTGGGACAGTGTCACCGGCCTGCTCCCTCCAAGGTGGAGAACTTGCCCCAACTGCCCTGGGAAGAAAGGGAGTCTGAATCTGAAAGTACACGGCTACTGTGATGAGCTTAAAACGGCACTGTTATCACTCAGGGAGGAGAACCTCTAGCTTCGGGGGCAGCAGTGGTGGCCAGCAAAGCAGCAGCCCCAGCAGGAGCAGCCAGTGTCCAGCAAGGCGGCAGTGGGGCAGTGGCAGGAGTGGCAGCAGCAAGGCAGGCAAGCGACCACTGTCTTCTGGAGCTGCCCACGAAGACAGCGAGTCACCTGGGCCCTCCCGACTGTGAGGGGATCTGCTGAGGGACGTCCCAGGCTGTGGGTCCCAGGCTGACCCAAGGCCGGTCCAGTTTGGGAAAACAAGACTTAGCCATGTAAGAGTAACCTGCCCACAAGCCAAGATAACACTGCAGGATGGATGGAGAGGCCATGAGTATGACAGCCAGGCCAACTTTTACCTCTTCAGGCCCCAAGAGAACAGGCATGAGATGGCTGAGCAGTGGTGGGGACCAGCCTGGTGCAGAAAGGGGCATGACCTCACTGGTGGCGGGAGGCAACAGACGGGCGGGCTTTCCCACTGAAAGCAAGTCAGCCCAGTGTGTTGGGCTGGGCACCTACTTGTGTCAGGCACTGTCCTAGGCCCTGGAGAGACAGTAATGGATAAGATAGACAAGGTCCCTGCTTTTATGTATCTTCTGTGAAGTGAGGGAGATGGATAATTACAGAGTAAACAAAATAGCATATGCACACATATGTACACATACACATACATATGCACACACACAGAAACCCAACTGCATGTAGCAACGAGTGTTATGAAGAAAAGAAATCAGAGAAGGGGTGGAATGTCACAGGCTGAAGGGCTGCTCTTGAGGAGGGCAGGGGCAGGCTCTCTGAGAAGAGAGGAAGGGAGTGCAGGCCACATGGAGATCCCGGGGAAGGTCATTCCAGCTGAGGGAAGAGGAAGGCAGGTCAAAGGCCCTGAGGCAGGAGCGTGCATGATCACCTCCATCTCACCCTACCTTCCAACACTCCTCTTCCCCCAGCAGAGAAGACATTAGCTAAGTGTGCAGATAGGAAAGCAGGAAAGCAAGCCAGCCCTTGAGAGAGGGCAGCGGTTGAAGATGGGAAGGTGTAGCAGGGACCCCCTGAGTGATCCCTGGGACGTCTAAGAAGCGTCTGTCAGCGTCTAAGAAGCGTCTGTCAGCCTGTAGCTGGAGCTGTGTCTGACCCCTGATCACATCCACCACACACTGGAGAAGCTGGGCATCCGGGCACAGTCTGTAGGGCACAGCCAGGCTCCCCTCATCAAGCCAAAAAGATTTACCCTGTGGCTGGTATACAGCCTGAGCAAGAGACATTGGAGCCCAGGCTCAGCACCACATGCCCTCAGGCCAGCTCTCCCTCCAGAAAGGATGTGGTGAGGAGGACTGTGTCCCAGGCTTGTCCCCAATCCCTATGCCCCTGCTCTTCTCCCTGCAGTGGTCAAGGTCAGTCACAAGCTACGTGGAGCTGCTCCATGAGTGCTGGGGGAATTGTGGAAAGTAAGACCCAGTGGAGCAAGAATGTGGGGCCTGGGGTGGGGGGTGGCCAGAACCCTGGGTGGTGTCAGTACCGGAATGGAGAGGGAGGGAGGTGCTGCTGATAATGGCAGTGTCTGATCACCTCTGCGGAGCAGCCATAAACCTCAGGCCTAGAACTCCTGCACTTCGCTCAAGCCTGTGGCAGCTCTGAGTTCTCACCTTGGCTCCCAAAGCTGTTCAAACTCTGGGCCCACACCCCTCAGGACAGGGGTGCAGCAAGGTGGTAGTGACCACTCTGAGCCAGAATTGTGGGGTGACCAAGCTATGCCCTGGAGGATGCCCCAAGCAGGCAATAGCAAGGGCAGGGGCAGCACTCCCCAGCTGTAGCTTTATGGCAGTCCTCTCCCAGGGTAGGACCTCAGCTGACCCAGAAGAGCAAAGAGACAGGGGCAGTGATGTGAGGCACCATCTCCAGAGGGTGCACGAAGGTTGGAGGCTCTTCCGAGGGCATAGCCAGTCAGCAGCACACCTGTCCTGACTCATAGGTTCACTGTGCACTGTTCTGCCCCTCCCCTACTTCCATCCTCTATACGTCTCTTGACCTTGGCCATTATCTCCTGCTCAAGTACTCCTATCAGGCCAGCTGGTCCTCCTTGAGAGCAGATTAGATTCGAAGGCACTTTGACCTTAGCTCAGAACCTTCGCACCCAAGAACCTCCCACCGAGCCAGTGGGAGGCCCAAAGTAGTGGGCTCGGACCAGGGGGAATCATGCCCCTCAGCTGGCCCCAAATTTGGGTTGATCCTTCGTTTCTTGCCTCACTGCGGGCAGTCATGCCTCTGCTCTTGCAGGCATCCAAGGGGCTGATACCCAGGGCAGGGCCAGAGCTGGGCCCCTGCTCTTTCGGCAACAGGTAACTCAGGTCTTCTGGGTAGGTTTGGTTTAGGACCTCACCCCTAAGCTCCAGGTCCCAAAAATGTTCCCCAGGAGCCGGTTCTGAGGCTTCAGGTCCTACTGCTGCTGGAGACAAGGATACTATGTGGGGGCTTTAATAAGTCATGGTCCATCCCAACATCTCATTATCCGTTGTGAAGTGAGATGCCCTTCACAGCTTGACGGGAAATGATAGGTCCAAATGTGCGGCTTTCACACACACACACACACACACACCACCACCACCCCCGCCCACCAGGGCTTACTTTGGCCCAGGGCTCAGTCCTGGCTTCACCATGGAGTCAGGACCCAGCTGTACCCCTTGCCTGGGCAGCTGCACAGCAAATGCGCTGGCCCTGTGCCAGCGAGCCCAGCTCCTGCCTCTGAAGTGGCCCGGTGCTCATTTGCTACCCCTGGTGGCCCCCCAGTGCCCAGGTGGGTGAGTCAGCACCAGCTCTCCCCTGGAAGACGGGGCCCACTGTGGGGCCCAGCCCCACCCTATCCAGGTTCCCCATGGAGAGTTTTCACCCCAGAAGCCCTGGCATCTTTCTTGCCAGCTGGCCAGCCGAGAAGGTCTGCTGAGCTAGAAGGGTCTCATCTCAGATTCCCTCCTCCTCCTGTGCTCTCACAGGGGAGTGACATGAAGTGGCTTCTGCCTCGCCACAGAAGTCCACGGCTGCCCGCCCCTCAACGTGGGACTTTCTGCCTGACATCAGCATAAAAGGCCCTCAGGTGCTTCCTAAAACTCCAAGGTAACTAAGAACAAAACGTCCTTTTCTTCCCTGGGAACTCCTCTCACCCTCCTTTGATGTCCTCTGGGAAGTGGGGGAGGCCAGGCAGGGCGCAGGATGCTGCTGGGACTGGTCCTGAGTGGTCAGAGGACCTTGGTGTTCGAGGGTCCCAGACATCTAGAGGTAAGGGGTGGACTCAAAGATGAATGTGCCTCCATGCTCTGGGTCCCACCACGGGGTCTCCTGCTAGCATGGTATCTCTTCTCCCGCCCTGGGGCCTGAGAGGCCAGAGTCTGTTTGACACGCTGGCGGGGCAGCTTCCATAGACCACAGAACTGTCAGGGAAAAGGGAATCTGAGACTAGACTTGTGAACATTTTTTAGTTTGCCAAGTAGGGACATCAAAAAAATACATCGTAAAAAAAAAAAGTACTTCATTTCTCTCACCACCATTTCCTGAAAGAAATAATATTTTAACTGCAAAAATAATAGAAAGGATATTTGGGATTAAAGGTATTGTCACCAAGAAAGGACAGCTGCGGTGTGGTTGAAACATGCTGATGACCTTTATGCGTGTCACTCTGCTCCTTCTGCTCCCTTTATTGCTGACTGCTGAATGCTTTATCGAGGGCCAGACCCACCAGTGACCCGCTCCGGGAAGCCCTGATAGGGGCCCGGCAGGGAGGACTCTGGACTTGCCCGGAGGACTGTGGGCTTGCCCCTCAGCCCGCGAGGAGCCGGAAGGGTTTGAAGCTGTGACCAGGCGTGCTCTTCAGGACAAAGGAGGCTGGACTGGAGGGCAGCAGAGGAGGGGCCCCCGGAGAGTTGATGAGGGCCGTGCGGGCCGCGGCAGGGGGTCTGGGAAGGGGAGGAGCCACGCAGGGCCGGGAAGAGCAAGGGCTCCTGCCTGTCCACATCCACACAGTGGCCACAGTAGGGGTCACCTCACTGGGGCAAAACCCAGAGAAGGGCATTTTGGATTAAAAATAAGAATATCCTGACTAAAGAATATGACACCTGCCATGCAAGGGGGAGTAGACCGAGGCAGTGAGCATGCTGGAGGTGGGGAAGGAGTGGACAGCGGAGTGGCTCCCCCGGGCCACTTGTCCAGCTTTGCATTGGGGCTCCACCTCTCGTGTGACCTTAGTCAGCTTACTAACCTCTGTGTCTCAGTTGCCTCATCTGCAAAATGGAAATGCAATAGTACCTGACCCAGGGTTGCTCGGAGGTGTACAGTAATGATGGGAAGCCTTAGCTGCCCAACTCTACAGACAGAGCCTGGGGTCGTTATAGCCCAGCGCCTGCACAGTGCCCAGCACGTCGGAGGGACCATTAGTGTTGGTGAGATGGGGGAAGCAGCCACCATCGGGAGAATTCCAGGCCTGGCGTGGGGAGGAACCAGGCTCAATGCCCACCTTCTCGGGCCTTGGGTGGTGTTTCGAGTGCTCCTGGGTCCTCTTGGGCAGCCCCACCCACCCCTCCCATACTCACCCAGCAGTAACAGAGGTGGGAAGCCGGGTGACTGAATACTCTGGGTGTAAGGAATGGGGAAGCTCAACACCCCCTGAAGTTTCTCTGGGGTGGATGTCTGGTCCAGCAGCATCCTGGGAGGCAGGAGGCAGGCAGAGGAAAGGGGTAAAGGATCTCAAGGAGGGGGGCAGACCAGAGGCCCCCCAGCGATGGCAGGAGTGGGAAGACTTGGCTCCTCTGTCACCCACCCCCTCACAGCAAGGGACCAGCACCCTACAAAACCAAGCCCTACCCGCCTTGTCCTCCCACCACCCAAACCTGCTTCTAAAATATTCCCTTCCTAGGAACATGCCTTTCAAGGCATCATCATCCCCCTCAACTCCTCCCTCTCTGTGCCCCTCCTTCCAATCAGCTGTTGCCGCCTTTCAGTCCCACCTACCTTGGCCCATTCCTGAATCAACACTTCCCTCCGTCTCTGGGGAGCCCCACACCACTGTCTTCTCCTGCAACCTTCTGAGCTTGCTAGTTACCTATCTTCACCAAGGGTTCTGTAATACAACTGTGTTCAGGACACTGCCCAACCTAGAACCATCCTTAGGAGGAAGTCTGATTTCCCACCTTGGCTTTTCCAGCCTCCGTGCACATCCCAGTACTGACAGATGGAAATTTGATTCCTCTGTTTGAAATGTGAGTCTTCCAAGGATTGTCCTGATCAACTCCTAGCCCTCCTTTCAGACTCAGGCCAAGGGACTCCCCTGTCCAGGGCTCGGCACCCCTCACCTCTTCGGGAACTGCTTGTTTAACATTCAGGGAGCTGCTCTGGCAAGACCATCTTGGGCACAAGAGAAATGAGCAGAGGAACGAGTTAGAAAAAGGAAAGGAGGAAGACATTTTTAATGAAGATCAGACAAGATTAGGCAATAGGAGACAAGACAGATATGAGTCAAAGATTACTCAGAGGTTCCTGGCCTGGGAGGCGGGGAAGGATTGTCACTGTCCACAGCCATGGCAAAGCGGCCTTCACCCTGGGCCTGGAGAGAAGACATGTATCTTCTCCTGGGCCCTGCTTCCTGGGAATCGGGGGCCTGACACCCCAAAGGCAGAGTGTGATCGAAAGAGGGCCAAGGATGCCTGGTTACCACAGGACATTGTCCTTGGAATGTCAATATTTTGAAAAAACAATACTTGTTTATTAACTTTGGGCTTAATGGGAAGTTGGGGGAGAGCTTAGGACACGTGAGCAAAGACAACTTAGTCGAAAGGTAGCGGCACTGAGTCGAAGTGGCAAAATTGCCTTTGACAGATAGTCTGCATCTAGAGGGGAAGTCTGACGCACCTGTACTAACCGGTGATTTCTCACAGGAATAAGATCTGTGGGTTTTCATCAGCTCCTGGATTCAGTATGAGCCACAGGGCTGACAAGGCTGCGGGAACAGCCACAACCCTCTTCAGCTGCACCAGTAAACAGACTCACATTGACTGCATCAGGGCCCGTTCTGTGCAGTTCAGACCAGCCTGCGACTTTCCTCAACCAAGGGCATGTGGTATACAAGGGATATGGAAAATCTTCAATCCACTCACGAGAGGAGGATCAGGTGCTGAAGAATCTGGAAACCGTCTCTTCCCAGGAATCAGTGAGGGTGATGTGTTTCTCCTGGAGAAAAGGAGACACGGATAGACACGATGCCCCCTCTCAGGTTGGAGGACGGTTGTGTCAAAAAAAGACAAGTGTTTCTCTAGAGAGTGTAGTGAAGAATAATAAGTCTAAATGATGAGGCAGGAGACGCAGCATAAGAAAGCAGTTTCTAGCAGCCGAAGCAGCCCGACTCACCGAGGTAGTGAGCGTCCCTCCCTGGGCATGTTCAGACAGAGCCGGGTGTCAAGGGGCTCTTAGACATCACTGGCCAGAGAGCAGTGGTTCCCAACCTTTCTCCCCTTTCAAACATCCCATCATTAAGGAATCCCATGTTTTGAAATAATGTATTTATTTAATAAACTATACTTACAGTAAAAATTATCCCATTTTAAAAGTAAAAACCTATATACTGCCATCATCTGGCATTTAGCCAGGCTTGGGGCCCACTGAATAGAGAAGTGATACAGTGGGGGTCTGCAGATGCCTCTGAGAAGAGATGGTGTGCCTTTCGGCCTGGCTGGACCCACCATCCTCCAGTAACTTGCCAAAATGACCAACACAAAGGAAAGAGCAGAGGCACCCACTGTATCCCTCTTGGCCTTTTAGAAAACGTGGAGCTGTTCCTTCGGCCACATATATGTGAATCTACAAAAAAGGTGATACTGTTGACATCAAGGGAATGGGCACTGTTTAAAAAGGAAAGCCCCATCCTCGGGCAAGGGAAACAAAAGCAAAAATGAAGAAATGGTACTGCATCATGCTAAAAACCTTCTGTACAGCAAAGGACACCATCAGCAGAACAATAAGGCCTCCTACAGTATGGGAGAATATATTTGTAAACGACATATCCAACAAGGGTTAACATCCAAAATATATACAGAACTCACATGCCTCAACACCCACAAAGCAAATAACCCTATTAAAAAATGGGCAGAGGATCTGAACAGACACTTCTCCAAAGAAGAAATTCAGATGGCCCACAGGCACATGAAAAATGCTCCACATCACTAATCATCAGGGAAATGCAAATTAAAACCACAATGAGATATCGCCCCCACACCAGTTAGAATGGCCACCATCCAAAAGACAAACAACAAATGCTGGCAAGGATGTGGAGAAAAGGGAACCCTCCTACACTGCTGGTGGGAATGTAAATTAGTTCAACCATCGTGCAAAGCAGTATGGAGGTTCCTCAAAAAACTCGAAGTAGAAATACCATTTGACCAAGGAATTCCACTCCTAGGAATTTACCCTAAGAATGCAGGATCCCAGTTTGAAAAAGACATATGCACCCCTATGTTTATCGCAGCACTATTTACAATAGCCAAGATATGGAAGCAACCTAAGTGCCCATCAGATGAATGGATAAAGAAGATGTGGTCCATATACACAATGGAATATTATTCAGCCATAAGAAGAAAAAAATCCTACCATTTGCAGCAACATAGATGGAGCTAAAGGGTATTATGCTCAGTGAAATAATCCAGGCAGAGAAAGACAAATACCAAATGATATCACTCATCTGTGGAGCATAAGAACAAAGCAAAAACTGAAGGAACAAAACAACAGCAGACGCACAGAACCCAAGAAGGGACTAACAGTTACTAAAGGGAAAGGGACTGGGGAGGATGGGTAGGAAGGGAAAGAGAGGGGCATTACAACTAGCACACATAATGTAGGGGAGGGCACAGGGAAGGCAGTATAGAGCAGAGAAGACAAGTAGTGACTGTAGCATCTTACTATGCTGAGGGACAGTGACTGTAATGGGGTACATGGTGGGGACTTGATAATGGGGGGAAGCTAGAAACCACAGTGTTGCTCATGTAATTGTATATTAATGGTACCAAAATAAAAAAGTGTCTTATTGGCAGAAGCTACATGAAAAAAAAAAAAGGAATGTCCCACAAATGTTTCCATGGCAAAATTGGAAGAGCCTACAATGCTACCGAGCATGCTGTTGGCATTGTTGTAAACAAACGAGTTAGGGGCAAGCTTCTTGCCAAGAGAATCAATGTATATACTGAGCATATTAAGCTCTCCAGGAGCCGAAATAGCTTCCTGAAACATGGGAAGGAAAATGATCAGGAAAAGAAGGAAGCCAAGGAGAAAGGTAGCTGGGTCCACTGAAGTGCCAGCCTGCTCCACCTGGGGAAGCACGCCATGAGAAGCAGTGGAAAGGAGCCTGGGCTGCAGGAAGCCTGTGAATTCCCTATGCATCTGTGGCCTTAAGGGTAAAAATGAAGACCACTGGACTGTTAAAAAAAAAAAAGGTGGCTGTGCTGGAGCTGGGATTTGGGAGTGACCTGGTGAGGTTCTGCATGCAGAGGGAGGCCTTTGCAGCAGGGAAAGATGCAGGTGGAAACACAAGCTCCAGAATAAACACTGAGTATAAAGCGGGGCTGAGGGCAAGCAGCAGGTTCAAAAGGGCTGTCTGGGCTCTGCTCCAGAGCTTGTCAGTTCAACAGGGACCATGCAGGGGCTTGACCAGGCAACCGGGGTGATCTTCAAAGAGTGAAGAGCTAGCCAACAAACGACAAAATAGATCAAATACAACTACTTTAAAAGTAAGCCTTCTGTTATCAAAAGACACCCCAAGGAAATGCAAACTAGTCACAAACTGGGAATGATATCTGCAATGCATTGATATGACAGAGGACTCATGTCCAGAATATATGAAGAACTGTATGAATCAATTAAAAAAATATATTTTTTCAATGGCCAAAGGAAACAGGAATCGCAGAGAAGAGGAAGCACAAATGGCCCATGAACATATGAAAATGTTCAACCTCTTCAGTAACAAGGGAATTACTTGGCACAAATTTTACAGTTGGACACTACTAAGTGTTGAAGAATGTGGGAATCTTGTCTTCTGTTGGCAGGAGGGCAAATCAGGACAATTATTTTAGGAAGCAGTTTGACACTTGGACACCTTTGAATTTTTGCATATCTTTGAACATCTACATACACTTGACCCAGCAATTTTACTTCCAGTACATTCCTTAGAGCAATATTTCTCAGTGAGGACCAGTTTTCTCTTTAATTGTCAATCTTTTGGGAGAATAAGGCTTTTGTAAAATACAATAAGATGAATTCCAAAAAAACAAAGTTTATAATGGACATATAATGTGTAAGCCCTGATATTTTATTATTAGATTCAACAGGCATAAAGTTACTTATGTATACCAAGTATACACAAGACATGCTCAAGAATGTTGGGGGAAAGTTATTTTGTAATAGTGAAAATCAAGGAATAGTGTGTCCAATGACAGGATTAGAAATTGGAGAAATAAATCACACGGCGGTATAATTACATGGTGGATTATGTACTGCATAAAATAAATATACTATATAAATAATAAATAAAATAAATGTACTGCAACTCTATGCAACAAAACCAGTAGTCTCAGAAACATAACTGTGAGAGAAAAAATAAGCCTCAGAAGACTAACATGATGCCTTTGTAAAAAAATCTTTATCAAAGTATAATTTACATTTCCACATTATAGGATAATTCACCCACTTTTAAGTGTACAATGATACTGTTCAATGATAATGAAATTATTTAAAGAATTATGCATCTATCACACTAATCTCAGTACATTTCCATCACCCAGTACCCACTGTCAGAACGCCCCACTCCCACCCCCAGCCCCAGGCAACCCCTGATCTATTCTGTCTCTTTAGGTTTGACTTCTCTGGACATTTCACATCAATGTAATCATACAATATGTGATCTTTGCATATGTGAAGTACTTTGCAAAGCTAGGATTTCACATTTCCATGGTGAAGTGGCCTCTGGGGTCTTATGGCCGTCGTCATCATAATCCTGACCCCAGACAGATACTTCTGGAAGACAGTTAGTTATGAGCCTTGAGCTCAGGGAGGTCTGGGCCGGAGGTGTGGATCTGGAAGCTGTCTCTAGCTTCAGTCCCATTATCTACCCACAGAATCTTAACTCTAAGGCTGTGCTGAACAACGCAGAAACCACCAGCCGCATGTGGCTATTAAACATCTGATATGTGGCTGAGTGATTTTAATTTTCCTTAATTTTAATTAATTATAATTTAAAAACAGAAACAATACACAACTGTATTGCTTTGGTAGGACTACATTTCATTCTGTTGAACATTTAGCATCCAAATTGAGATGTGTAAAATGCACACCAGATTTTTAAGACATAGCACACACAAAAAAGTAACATCTCATGACTAATTTTTATATTGATTACATGTTGAAATGATAATGTTCTTGATATATTGGTTTATACAAAATGTTATGAAAATAAATATTACCTGTTTCCTTTTATTTTTAAAATGTGGCTATTTTGAGATGTGAGGCTCATATTTCTGTAAACAGACATTTCCATCATCACAAGGAAGTCCCCCTGGACAGCGCTGGTCGAGAGTCTAAAGCCACTCACCTTGGCCTCCAAGCACCCTTGTCATTCCCACTCCCACACTCAGCTCAGCCTTCCTGCCTGGGGGGCCTCTGTCCCTCTGATTCCCTGAGGCTAAACCCTGCCTTCTTCTGAGCAAAATAGCCTTGGCTGTGCCTTCCAGCCTACATGAACTGTCTCCCTCCAGCCTCCTTAGCCCTAAGCACTTAGCCTTAGCTCATTTTTCTACATCCCGATTTTTCATGAAAGGCAGTAATGTATTCCTCTCTAAGCCCAGTACCTTGCCTATAAGGAATGTTAGCCAGTGATTTTGATAATATTAATAACATCTTGTTTTTGTGTGACAACCGACAAGGGCTGTGTCTTCATTTTCCCACAGATGTAGAGGGAGAATGGATAAAAGTGTTCATAGCCATTTTATACATGAAGAAACTGAGGCTTAACGAGCTTCCTTGCTCAGTTTAGAAGCCTTGTAAGTGTGACACAGACTTTTCTGGCCCCTAATCCAGTGCTATTTGCCCTGCACTTTGCTTTCAGTGCCCATGTGAGTTAATGCTGAGAAAATAAAGAAAGGCGAGGTTAGCACAGATTGAGGAAACTAGAGCTACTCATGTTAGGGACAGGACTTGAGCTGTCCCTTGAGAGATGGATAGGTTTTGGTGAAGCAAAGAGGAGTAGTGGAGCTTCAGTGACAGGACCGGGGCTCCTCTGAAAGCCAACCAATAATCAGGCAATTCCTTGATGAGCACAGAATGATAGAAGTAAACACTTGGGCATATTTTTTAATAACAACTTTACTGATATATTAATATATAATAAAATTCCCCCCATTTAAAGTGTACAGTTCAGTGGTTTTCAGTATATTCAGAGTTGTGCAACCATCACTACTACTTTTAGGATATTTTCATCATCCATAGAGAAACGCTATACCATCGACAGTCACTCCCGTTTCCCCTCCCCCAGCCCCTGGTAACCACGAATCTACTTTCTGTCTATATGGATGTGTCTATTCTAGACATTTCATATAAAATGGATTTATACAATACATGGCCTTTTGTGACAGGCTTCTTTCACTTAGCATAATGTTTTCAAGGTTCATCCATGCTATAGCATATAATCAATATTTCACTTTTTATGGCTGAATAATACTCCATTTTATAAATGTAACACATTTTGTTTATCCACTCATCAGCTGATGGATATTTAGGTTGCTCCCAATTTTTTTAGCTATTATGGATGATACTATGCTGCTGTAAGCATTCATGTAAAAGTTTTTGTGTGGCCATGTTTTCAATTCCCTTGGGTGCATACCTCAGAATAGAACTGCAGGGTCACATGGTAATTCTGTGTGTAACATTTTGAGGAACTGCCAATGTTTTCTAAAGTGGCTGCACTGTTTGCCAGTGCCACCAGCAATATGTAAGGGTTCCTATTTCTCTACATCCTTGGCAATATTTGCTATTCTCTTTTTATTTTCGGCATCTTTGTGGGCGTGAAGTGGTATCTCATTGCGGTTTGATGTGCTTTCCCTGATGACTGGTGCAGGTCATCTCTTCACATGCTTATTGGTCATTTGTGTGTCTCTTTGGAGAAATGTCTCTACAAATCCTCTGCTGATTTTTAAATTGAGTTATTTGTCTTTTTATTGTTGAGTTGTAAGAGTCCTTTATATATTCCAGACACAAGTACTCATCGTGTGCATGCTTTGGAAATATTTTCTCCCATTCCTTGGGTTGCCTTTTCATTTTCTTGATAGTATCCTTTGAAGCTTAAAAGTTTTTGATTTTGATAAAGACCAAGTTAATTTTTCTTTTATCATTTCTGCTTTTGGGGTCTTCCCTAAGAAACTTGCCTAATCCAAGGCCACAAACATTCATACCTATGTTTCTTCTAAGATTTTCATGGTTTTATCTTTTACATTAAGGCTGTGATTTATTTTGGATTAATTTCTGTAAATGGCATGAGGTAGGAGTCCAGCTTCATTCTTGGGCATCTGGAGATCCAGCTGTCCCAGCACCGCTTGTCAAAAAGGCTCTTCCCTCTCCCCCGACTCTATTAATTGTCCTGGCACTCTTGTCAAAGATCGATTGGATGTAAATGTCAGGGTTTATTTCTGGACTCAGTTTTATTGTTGGGCATATTTTCTAAAGCATGTTTCTCTCAGCCTGCGGTGACCTGCCCTGTCCTCCCTGGAAGAGAGATGGAGCCTCTCCCAGGCCGAGCGCCTCCCTCCGCGCGGGGCCCCGCGGCTGTATGCACAGGCCTCCCCGGAGCTCCAGCCTCCAGCAGGGCTCAGACCCCCTGCGTCCTTCTCACGGCCTCCGGAGGTAGCTGACTGACCCAAGGACTTCATCTCGTTCCTGCTTCTCAAGGTCATTATAAATATCAAATTAGATAATTCACACGAAAGAACTTAGAAAGATGTAACGTGCTATCCGCATATAAGGTGTATTCTTATTATCTTTCTCCTTCATGAATAAGACCTGAAAAATACAGAGCAAGAGAAGTTATTTTTAACTTTTACTCATGGGAATCAAAGGAGCAGAGCCTGTATTACCGCAAATGCCAAATTAGTGAGGTTTGGCTCCTCGTGTAATCCTTGCAGGAGGCTGTGCGCTTGCCACCAGGAGACTCGGCGGGAATAGTGGTCATTCCTTCCTTCCCGGCCGCAAAGCCTTCATCCTCGCCAGGGCGGCTCTGATCACGGGTGTCCACTTAGCCGTCCCTGAAGTGCGCTGGTGTCCCCTGGTGGGAGGGGCGCCACAGGGCGCCCAGCTCTCCTCTACCTCCCCCCACCTATTCCCACTGAGTTTGATGACAAAGCCCAGCCTCTGCCTCCCCTGAAGGCTGGAGCAGCCACCTTCCTCTAAAATAAATGTACTGCAACTCTATGCAACAAAACCAGTAGTCTCAGAAACATAACTGTGAGAGAAAAAATAAGCCTCAGAAGACTAACATGATGCCTTTGTAAAAAAATCTTTATCAAAGTATAATTTACATTTCAACATTATAGGATAATTCACCCACTTTTAAGTGTACAATGATACTGTTCAATGATAATGAAATTATTTAAAGAATTATGCATCTATCACACTAATCTCAGTACATTTCCATCACCCAGTACCCACTGTCAGAACGCCCCACTCCCACCCCCAGCCCCAGGCAACCCCTGATCTATTCTGTCTCTTTAGGTTTGACTTCTCTGGACATTTCACATCAATGTAATCATACAATATGTGATCTTTGCATATGTGAAGTACTTTGCAAAGCTAGGATTCCACATTTCCATGGTGAAGTGGCCTCTGGGGTCTTATGGCCGTCGTCATCATAATCCTGACCCCAGACAGATACTTCTGGAAGACAGTTAGTTATGAGCCTTGAGCTCAGGGAGGTCTGGGCCGGAGGTGTGGATCTGGAAGCTGTCTCTAGCTTCAGTCCCATTATCTACCCACAGAATCTTAACTCTAAGGCTGTGCTGAACAACGCAGAAACCACCAGCCGCATGTGGCTATTAAACATCTGATATGTGGCTGAGTGATTTTAATTTTCCTTAATTTTAATTAATTATAATTTAAAAACAGAAACAATACACAACTGTATTGCTTTGGTAGGACTACATTTCATTCTGTTGAACATTTAGCATCCAAATTGAGATGTGTAAAATGCACACCAGATTTTTAAGACATAGCACACACAAAAAAGTAACATCTCATGACTAATTTTTATATTGATTACATGTTGAAATGATAATGTTCTTGATATATTGGTTTATACAAAATGTTATGAAAATAAATATTACCTGTTTCCTTTTATTTTTAAAATGTGGCTATTTTGAGATGTGAGGCTCATATTTCTGTAAACAGACATTTCCACCATCACAAGGAAGTCCCCCTGGACAGCGCTGGTCGAGAGTCTAAAGCCACTCACCTTGGCCTCCAAGCACCCTTGTCATTCCCACTCCCACACTCAGCTCAGCCTTCCTGCCTGGGGGGCCTCTGTCCCTCTGATTCCCTGAGGCTAAACCCTGCCTTCTTCTGAGCAAAATAGCCTTGGCTGTGCCTTCCAGCCTACATGAACTGTCTCCCTCCAGCCTCCTTAGCCCTAAGCACTTAGCCTTAGCTCATTTTTCTACATCCCGATTTTTCATGAAAGGCAGTAATGTATTCCTCTCTAAGCCCAGTACCTTGCCTATAAGGAATGTTAGCCAGTGATTTTGATAATATTAATAACATCTTGTTTTTGTGTGACAACCGACAAGGGCTGTGTCTTCATTTTCCCACAGATGTAGAGGGAGAATGGATAAAAGTGTTCATAGCCATTTTATACATGAAGAAACTGAGGCTTAACGAGCTTCCTTGCTCAGTTTAGAAGCCTTGTAAGTGTGACACAGACTTTTCTGGCCCCTAATCCAGTGCTATTTGCGCTGCACTTTGCTTTCAGTGCCCATGTGAGTTAATGCTGAGAAAATAAAGAAAGGCGAGGTTAGCACAGATTGAGGAAACTAGAGCTACTCATGTTAGGGACAGGACTTGAGCTGTCCCTTGAGAGATGGATAGGTTTTGGTGAAGCAAAGAGGAGTAGTGGGGCTTCAGTGACAGGACCGGGGCTCCTCTGAAAGCCAACCAATAATCAGGCAATTCCTTGATGAGCACAGAATGATAGAAGTAAACACTTGGGCATATTTTTTAATAACAACTTTACTGATATATTAATATATAATAAAATTCCCCCCATTTAAAGTGTACAGTTCAGTGGTTTTCAGTATATTCAGAGTTGTGCAACCATCACTACTACTTTTAGGATATTTTCATCATCCATAGAGAAACGCTATACCATCGACAGTCACTCCCGTTTCCCCTCCCCCAGCCCCTGGTAACCACGAATCTACTTTCTGTCTATATGGATGTGTCTATTCTAGACATTTCATATAAAATGGATTTATACAATACATGGCCTTTTGTGACAGGCTTCTTTCACTTAGCATAATGTTTTCAAGGTTCATCCATGCTATAGCATATAATCAATATTTCACTTTTTATGGCTGAATAATACTCCATTTTATAAATGTAACACATTTTGTTTATCCACTCATCAGCTGATGGATATTTAGGTTGCTCCCAATTTTTTTAGCTATTATGGATGATACTATGCTGCTGTAAGCATTCATGTAAAAGTTTTTGTGTGGCCATGTTTTCAATTCCCTTGGGTGCATACCTCAGAATAGAACTGCAGGGTCACATGGTAATTCTGTGTGTAACATTTTGAGGAACTGCCAATGTTTTCTAAAGTGGCTGCACTGTTTGCCAGTGCCACCAGCAATATGTAAGGGTTCCTATTTCTCTACATCCTTGGCAATATTTGCTATTCTCTTTTTATTTTCGGCATCTTTGTGGGCGTGAAGTGGTATCTCATTGCGGTTTGATGTGCTTTCCCTGATGACTGGTGCAGGTCATCTCTTCACATGCTTATTGGTCATTTGTGTGTCTCTTTGGAGAAATGTCTCTACAAATCCTCTGCTGATTTTTAAATTGAGTTATTTGTCTTTTTATTGTTGAGTTGTAAGAGTCCTTTATATATTCCAGACACAAGTACTCATCGTGTGCATGCTTTGGAAATATTTTCTCCCATTCCTTGGGTTGCCTTTTCATTTTCTTGATAGTATCCTTTGAAGCTTAAAAGTTTTTGATTTTGATAAAGACCAAGTTAATTTTTCTTTTATCATTTCTGCTTTTGGGGTCTTCCCTAAGAAACTATTGCCTAATCCAAGGCCACAAACATTCATACCTATGTTTCTTCTAAGATTTTCATGGTTTTATCTTTTACATTAAGGCTGTGATTTATTTTGGATTAATTTCTGTAAATGGCATGAGGTAGGAGTCCAGCTTCATTCTTGGGCATCTGGAGATCCAGCTGTCCCAGCACCGCTTGTCAAAAAGGCTCTTCCCTCTCCCCCGACTCTATTAATTGTCCTGGCACTCTTGTCAAAGATCGATTGGATGTAAATGTCAGGGTTTATTTCTGGACTCAGTTTTATTGTTGGGCATATTTTCTAAAGCATGTTTCTCTCAGCCTGCGGTGACCTGCCCTGTCCTCCCTGGAAGAGAGATGGAGCCTCTCCCAGGCCGAGCGCCTCCCTCCGCGCGGGGCCCCGCGGCTGTGTGCACAGGCCTCCCCGGAGCTCCAGCCTCCAGCAGGGCTCAGACCCCCTGCGTCCTTCTCACGGCCTCCGGAGGTAGCTGACTGACCCAAGGACTTCATCTCGTTCCTGCTTCTCAAGGTCATTATAAATATCAAATTAGATCATTCACACGAAAGAACTTAGAAAGATGTAACGTGCTATCCGCATATAAGGTGTATTCTTATTATCTTTCTCCTTCATGAATAAGACCTGAAAAATACAGAGCAAGAGAAGTTATTTTTAACTTTTACTCATGGGAATCAAAGGAGCAGAGCCTGTATTACCGCAAATGCCAAATTAGTGAGGTTTGGCTCCTCGTGTAATCCTTGCAGGAGGCTGTGCGCTTGCCACCAGGAGACTCGGCGGGAATAGTGGTCATTCCTTCCTTCCCGGCCGCAAAGCCTTCATCCTCGCCAGGGCGGCTCTGATTACGGGTGTCCACTTAGCCGTCCCTGAAGTGCGCTGGTGTCCCCTGGTGGGAGGGGCGCCACAGGGCGCCCAGCTCTCCTCTACCTCCCCCCACCTATTCCCACTGAGTTTGATGACAAAGCCCAGCCTCTGCCTCCCCTGAAGGCTGGAGCAGCCACCTTCCTCTTCTCCCCACCTTCCTCTTAGCTCCACCCCCATCCTCCTCCACACAGCTCTCCCTGGCACCGTGTCATCCAACAACGCAGATCTCAGGGGCACTCAGGTCAGAGAGCCTTGCGCAGGCAGTCCGTACAGCAACGTCAGCCCAGGTGATCCCCAGGTGCCATGCCACACGCAGATACCCAGGACTGCAAATGATTCCCAGTGGTGGTGACACGGGCCCTCGCCCTGCTCCCTGTGCCCGGCCTCTGCTCCTTCCGTCCTCCCTTCCCACACCCTTGGCGGGCTGTCTACTAGGGTGAAGGGTCCTCCCACCTCTGGGAACAGGCACCGCGGTGCTGAGGAGTTAGAAGACGCTCAGCCTCCACAACTCTCAAGAGGATGCCACTCTCCTCCCTCCCCAGTGCTTGAGAGACACGTGGATGAGACTGGGAAAGACTGACAGGGAGTCGGGGAGGCCTGCGGTGACGTGGAGCAAGCCACTCAATCTGTCTGAGCCTTAGTTTCTTCATCTGTCAAATGAGGGGTGTGTGCCCATGGCTAGGCCCTACTTCGCAGCCCTCTAAGGCTGCAAGTCTGTGTGGCTGCTTCGGCATGAGTGACTCCCGGCCCGTGTCCCCAGGGGGAAGAGAGCAGGTGTGCCAGCGCTCCGGTGCTTCCGCGCCCCTTCTCCCAGTACAGCGCCTCCATGCTGCCCCCCTTTCCTGGTAGGCCCTCCACCCGGTCGGTCCCCAGGTGAGCCAGGGGCTTTGAGCATCTGTGCAGCACCTCCCAGGCGCCTGCGGAGGCCAGAACTCTCCCCGCACGGCGCAGGCCTCCCCCTCCCCCCGAGGACTAGCCGAGCGGCTGGACCCGGCGACGGAGCCTTAACCCCATCTTTGCGGCACCAGCGACGCTGCGGACAGCTCCCCCCGGTGTCTCTCCGGAGCCCAGGGAGATGGGGCGGCTGGGCCGGGGATGGAGCGTCGGAGACCGCTGGGCTCCCGGGTCCCTGCGCCGAGGCTGTGTGACAGCAAGGAGAGGGCACGGCGGGCAGGCTCGCGTGTGCCAGCAAACTGCTGGGTCCCCCAGCCTCAGGCGAGAGGACTTGCGGGGTGGAGGAACGCTCCCCTTTCTGGCGTCCCCTGGGACAGCCTGACCTAGGCGCCACCCGCCACCCCGGGCAGCATCTCGCAGGGGCTGCCTCGGCTCCCCCGGGCCGGCGCCCCTGACCAGGCGGGCCAGGAAGCGTCGGTCCCCGCCCCGCTCCTTTAGGCCCGCGCGGCCGGGGGACTTTGGAGCCGAGGAGGAAGCGCGGCGGGGCGGGGAGGTGGGGGTGTGTCGCAAGGCGGCGGCGGCGGCGGGGTTTTATAATCCGCAGGGAGGGCGCGGCGCGGGAGAAGGGGCAGCGCCGCGCACCGCGCCATGGGGGCCGCGCCGGGCCGTGCGGGGCCGGGGCAGCGGCCGCCGCGCCTGCCGCTGCTGACGCTGTTCCTCCTGCTGCGGCCGCCGCTGGTCGCGCTGGGAATCGACCCTGTGCTGCTGCCCGGAAACTTTTCCGCGGACGAGGCCGGGGCGCAGCAATTCGTGCAGAGCTTCAACTCGAGCGCCGAGCAGGTGCTATTCCTGAGCACTAGCGCCAGCTGGGCTCACGACACCAACATCAGCGACGAGAACGCGCGGCGCCAGGTGGGCGCGCGGGTCCGAGGCGGGGGCGGGGCCCGGGCGCCCAATCACAGGCCTGGGGCCCGGCCTGGGGGGTGGAGAGTCACCCGGGCGCTCGCCCCCGTCCCCCAGCCTGCGGGGCCCGCTGGCCTCCCACCTAACCCTGCCCAGACAGGCGGTGGGCGCCCCAGCACCGTGCTGGGCGCAGCCCGTGCCCAGAACAGGAGCCGAATGGATGAGGCTGGCCCTCTGACGCCGACTCAGTTCCCCCGGGTGGCGGCGCCCAGGGATGACTTCGGGTTGGGTCGGCTGCAGCCCTCGCTGAGGGCGCTTCCTCTCCGCCCTGCTCGGCCCCTTTGACCGCAGCCCACCCCTCTCTCTCTGTTCCCGTCAGCGCCCCTGCCTGTTCACACTCTCCGCCCCTGCCTCTCTGGTGTCCCCAGTTTCTGCCCCACCGCTCCCCTGAGGCAAGTCCCCCCCACTTCCCGGCGTCCAGGTCCCGGGAGGAGGGAGCTGTACTGCCGCAAGCCTCAGCTTCCAGGAGCCCGTGGCCTTCCCCACCTCCCCCAGCGCAATGATCTCCTCTATACGTTCTCCCGTGCCCCTCTGGTGCCCACAGGAGGAGGCGGCCCTGTTCAACCAGGAGTTTGCGGAGATCTGGGGTCAGAAGGCCAAGGAGCTGTACGACCCAATCTGGCAGAACTTCACTGATCCGATTCTGCGAAGGGTCATCAGCGGTGTGCGCACTCTGGGCCCTGCCAACCTGCCCGTGGGGAAGCGGCAGCAGGTGGGCCTGGCGGGCCTGCGGGTGGAGGCAGAAGGCGCTCCTGTGCGGTGGGGGAGGGGAGTCTGGCGGGGAGGGACCCAGGCGCCTGCAGGGGCTCCGGCTGTCGGGGAAGCTGGCGTGGGCATAGAATGGCTTCCTGGAGCATTGATTTTCCTTGGGGATGGAAAGATGGAGATAGGGAAGTTACTTTAGATTAGAAGACGTATTATGGGATAGAAAAAAAAATTTCATCCCGTACAAGATGAAACAGGGTTTTTAAAAAAAATTCTCTTAAGGCTGGTTTAGTTTGTGGGCTTCCTTAGAAAGACTGAGAAGGACTGAGAAGGGTTCAGGGCCAGAGAGTGAGAAAGAACTGCCCTCACTGCAGGGTTGGCGGCGTTGCTCGTCTGGAACCCCGACCCAATCCCTAACCCCCAGGCGCTTGCTTCCACCCCCCGCAGGCTGCCTCCACTGGAAAGGGGATTGGTGTGTCAGTGGTCAGAAGTGCCCCTAGTGCCACTGAGAGCCCTCTCCAGGCTTCCTTTACTGCGGGCAAAAAGAGGAGGGGGTGGCCAGATTACCTCTAGGGGCTGATCATTGTTAACAGTCTCTCAACCCTCACTCCCCAGTACAACGCTCTGCTAAGCAACATGAATAGGATCTATTCCACTGCCAAGGTCTGCTTCCCCAACAAGACTGCCCTCTGCTGGTCCCTGGACCCAGGTATGGTTCTGCGGCTACCGGCTGGGCTCCGGCTTCCTAGCCCTTCCCCGTTGCCCTGCTGCACCCGGTAGGACGGTATGTTTAAAGGGAGAGCCTGTGGAGAGAGTGTGTAAAAGCAAAAGTATTCATCGCCAGTTGGGGCTAAACCATGAGATGCCCCCACACCGCAGCTTCTCCTGGCAAACCGATTTCTGAAAGCTCCACACTCCAGCCTCTACCGTGACCCCACCCATCACCTCGCCCATCTCCGCTAGCCTTCCCTCTGGCTACCTGGTTTTCCTTTTCCTGGGTCCTCGCAGCCTCCCAGGAGCCTTCCACAGGACCTGCCCCCATACCCCTGCCTTGAAGTCAGCCACTCCATCCCATGAGCCATGAAGGATTTGTCTGGGTTTTGGTGTCTGGATGTCCTCTTTGTGTCAGACACCTTAGGTCATCATTTCCCTAGAGACGAGGGTCCTGCCTGGCTGCTTGCTTTGTATAGCTCCTAGCCCCTTCCTGCCCAACTTGTAGGTTGCTCTTGACTTTTGGGGTATCATGATGTTGAGAGAGCAGGTGGAGATAGTGAGGACCAGCCTGGGAGCTCAGGTGAAGGCTGTTGTCGACTTCAACACAGAAACTACCTAACTGACCCTGACCACCTGTGTCTCAGAGCTCATCCACATCCTGGCCGTCTCGCGAAACTACGGGCTGCTGCTGTATGCCTGGGAGGGCTGGCATGATGCCGCAGGCATCCCGCTGAAACCCCTGTACCAGAACTTCACTGCCCTCAGCAATGAGGCTTACAGGAAGGATGGTGAGCATGCCCCCAGCCTGCCCCTTGTGTGGGTACCTCTCTCCCCAGCTCACAAGGTGCTCTGCCCCACTGTCTCCCCTGAGCCCCAACCCGAGGCAGACACAGCAGCCTGCAATGATTGCATGCACTGGCCCAAGGTCGCACAAAAGGTGGCTAGTGGGATGGGCATGAGCCCTGTCTGCTTGCCTCCAGCTGCTGCCCTGCCTTGCACCACCCCTCCTGCCACTCCGCCCAGCCCCAGTGTTCATCTTTGCCTCCCATGCTCTCTAGGGTCTGTTTAACTGGAGTTGGAGCAAACCCTAGTTAGAAAATTATAGAGCAGCAACCCCCAAGCCATCCTTTCCAGCCAGCTGGCAGGTACACAGGCCCTGAGCTAGGCGAATGGCGAAGTGGTAGCTGGGGCGTACAGGTACCAAAGCCTTGGGCCTGAGCTGCACCCAACCTCCACCTACTGCTAGGCTTCTCAGACACAGGGGCCTACTGGCGCTCCTGGTACGACTCACCCACCTTCGTGGAGGATCTGGAACACATCTATCATCAGTTAGAGCCCCTCTACCTGAACCTCCACGCCTATGTCCGCCGCGCTCTGCACCGCCGATATGGAGACAGATACATCAACCTCAGGGGACCCATCCCTGCTCACCTGCTGGGTAAGGGCTTTGCCTTGCCTCCGCACATGTCCCAGGAACCCTGAGGCTTAGAGCATGTAATGAACTTGGTAGGGAACAGAGAGCTAGGAATCACACTGAAGACTTTGGGGAATAATTTAAACAAAAACTTTAAAAGTAGAGGAATAATAATCCTAGTTTATGCCCCATGAAGCAAGCCCTGTAGCCCCACCTCAGGGTTGGGAGGCAGGGACCCCAGCGCCCTCAGAAAAGACCCCAGCAGCATCACTTGGGCTCACAGTTGGCCTCTGCCAGCTGCGCTCGGGAGCGTGGTGTCTGGTGTGTGAGAGACCTGGTGTCCACTCTGCCCTAGAGTGCCTGGGTCCAGATGCAGGGGCCCAGGGGCTGCTCAGTGACAGGCGTGGGGAATCAGGGAGCCAAGCTGTCTGGTTCCCCTCCGCTGTCTAGGGGACATGTGGGCCCAGAGCTGGGACAACATCTATGACATGGTGGTGCCTTTCCCTGACAAGCCCAATCTTGATGTTACCAGTACTATGGTGCAGAAGGTAAGCTCGGGGTCAGGCCAGAGACATAGGGAGGTCATCCAGGCATAGGGAGAGGTGAGGGAAGGGGTCACGAGGGAAAAGGGTCAGGTAGGGACCTTGGTCCCTTCCTTTCTACGGAGCAGTGGCCTGGAGTGTGTGTATAAGCAGTGAGCTGGGGTGTGTGTCCTCAGTGAGGTGTCAGCTGCTCCCTCCAGAAGCCCTCTGCTGGGGAGTGAGAGCAGGCTGCTCTAGCGTGTCTGCTGTGGTCAGTGGGAGCCCTGCCTCTGGGAAAGGAGACCACAGAGCAGAGGTGCCCTTCATGGGCAGTGAGCTGACCTAGATGGGGGACCCCAGACCTGCCCCTGGGGCAGCCACAGCGAGCTTCTAGCAGCTGGCCTCCTGACTTGTGCCCGCACCCCACCACCAGGGCTGGAATGTCACGCACATGTTCCGGGTGGCAGAGGAATTCTTCACGTCCCTGGGGCTCTTGCCCATGCCTCCTGAGTTTTGGGCAGAATCCATGCTGGAGAAACCAAATGACGGGCGTGAGGTGGTGTGCCACGCCTCTGCCTGGGACTTCTACAACAGGAAAGACTTCAGGTCTAGCCACGGGACGAGGAGGGCTCTGAGGCCCCAGGAAGGGCGGGCAGCCCGGGGCACAGAGAAGCCAGTTCCCAGGCCCACCTGCACCCCAGCCCCAACACTGGCTGGGGCTGCATCTACTGTAAGGCTATTGGGCTTCTGAGACCCTTTAGGCTGCCTTCCCTTGGCAACTTTGACAGGGAGCAACTCCGTCCCTTGGAATGGAGGAAAAAGGCCTGATTGTGGACTGGGGCAGGCGAAGTATTTGTCATGTTTCCACCCATTCCCTCGAGCCCCTGGGAGGGGCTCTCCTGGTTTCTTTCCTTCAGGCACCAGCCCCCGACTGTGCCCTGCCCTCCACCCTGTGCTGTCCTTCACCCTCATCCCCATGCTCTCCCTGCCCCAGGATCAAGCAGTGCACACGGGTCACTATGGACCAGCTGTCCACGGTGCACCATGAGATGGGCCATGTGCAGTACTACCTGCAGTACAAGGAGCAGCCCGTTTCCCTGCGCCAAGGTGCCAACCCTGGCTTCCATGAGGCCATCGGGGACGTGCTGGCCCTCTCGGTCTCCACACCTGCACACCTGCACAAAATCGGCCTACTGGACCATGTCACCAATGACATGGGTATGGGGAGCAGAGAGGACCCAGCCCCACCCACACCCCGTCTGTCTCACAGCAGGACCCCTCTTGCCCCTGCCCCCATCTGCCCCTCTTGTTTCTGCCCCACTGCTCCAAACCAGGCAGTCTGGGGACCCACATGGAGCCTCAGAGCCCACCCTGAGTCACAACTCAGCACTGCCCACAGACCCTCTTCCCAGCAGGGCCCCATGGTCTGCAGGGCCAACCTTCCCTTCTCTGCATCTACCCAGCCCACCTCCTACAGGCTCCTCCCCAGCAGCTGGCCTCCTGACTTGTGCCCGCACCCCACCACCAGGGCTGGAATGTCACGCACATGTTCCGGGTGGCAGAGGAATTCTTCACGTCCCTGGGGCTCTTGCCCATGCCTCCTGAGTTTTGGGCAGAATCCATGCTGGAGAAACCAAATGACGGGCGTGAGGTGGTGTGCCACGCCTCTGCCTGGGACTTCTACAACAGGAAAGACTTCAGGTCTAGCCACGGGACGAGGAGGGCTCTGAGGCCCCAGGAAGGGCGGGCAGCCCGGGGCACAGAGAAGCCAGTTCCCAGGCCCACCTGCACCCCAGCCCCAACACTGGCTGGGGCTGCATCTACTGTAAGGCTATTGGGCTTCTGAGACCCTTTAGGCTGCCTTCCCTTGGCAACTTTGACAGGGAGCAACTCCGTCCCTTGGAATGGAGGAAAAAGGCCTGATTGTGGACTGGGGCAGGCGAAGTATTTGTCATGTTTCCACCCATTCCCTCGAGCCCCTGGGAGGGGCTCTCCTGGTTTCTTTCCTTCAGGCACCAGCCCCCGACTGTGCCCTGCCCTCCACCCTGTGCTGTCCTTCACCCTCATCCCCATGCTCTCCCTGCCCCAGGATCAAGCAGTGCACACGGGTCACTATGGACCAGCTGTCCACGGTGCACCATGAGATGGGCCATGTGCAGTACTACCTGCAGTACAAGGAGCAGCCCGTTTCCCTGCGCCAAGGTGCCAACCCTGGCTTCCATGAGGCCATCGGGGACGTGCTGGCCCTCTCGGTCTCCACACCTGCACACCTGCACAAAATCGGCCTACTGGACCATGTCACCAATGACATGGGTATGGGGAGCAGAGAGGACCCAGCCCCACCCACACCCCGTCTGTCTCACAGCAGGACCCCTCTTGCCCCTGCCCCCATCTGCCCCTCTTGTTTCTGCCCCACTGCTCCAAACCAGGCAGTCTGGGGACCCACATGGAGCCTCAGAGCCCACCCTGAGTCACAACTCAGCACTGCCCACAGACCCTCTTCCCAGCAGGGCCCCATGGTCTGCAGGGCCAACCTTCCCTTCTCTGCATCTACCCAGCCCACCTCCTACAGGCTCCTCCCCGGACCCCCCCTATCCTGGCCAGACTCCCTTCTCTCTCTGACTTCTCTGCTCATCTCATCTCCCACAGAAAGCGACATCAACTACCTGTTAAAGATGGCACTGGAAAAAATTGCTTTCCTGCCCTTTGGCTACTTGGTGGACCAGTGGCGTTGGGGGGTCTTTAGTGGGCGTACCCCATCTTCCCGCTACAACTTTGACTGGTGGTATCTTCGGTAAGCAAAGAGGGATCCGGAAGGGCCTGACCCCAGTGGAGTGATGAGCTAAGGAGGCTGCCTGGCCCTCCAGGCCAAGGTGCCAGGGCGCAGCTGGGGGGTGCTGACCAGATCCAGAGCCCAGAACTGAGACCTTGCCTTAGGGCCCAGCCCCACCCTCATCCAGGGCGTTACCAACACTCTCTGGGTAATTGTTGGGCATTGGCAGCCGCAACCGGGCCCTCCTGCCGCTTTCAGTCTGAACCCCCACCTGTCTGATGATGACTCCATCCTTTTCCCATTCTTTCCTGCCTTCCTCCAGGAAGTCTTCCCCAGTTCACTGGTGGGGGAAGGGACGGCCCGCCGGGAATGTCCGCATAGCAGTCTTTTTCAGCAAAGGCTGAATCAGCCTGTGTGCGACTCTCTGGTCCTACAACAATTAAACCATCTTCTTCTAGAATCAAATATCAGGGGATCTGTCCTCCAGTTGTCCGAAACGAAACCCACTTTGATGCTGGTGCTAAGTTTCATGTCCCACACGTGACACCGTACATCAGGTACTACTGCTCCCCACGTTTGCCCAGTTCTGTCACACCTTTTGTCCCCCTCCCTCTAGCCCCATGACCGAGGGCCAGAATTTGAGTGGACCTCTCTCCTAAGTCAGAGCTGGCCTCCCTTCTCCCTCTGGGCAGTCCCTGGGCTGGCCTCTGCCCTGTGGGAAGCTGAATGGTGCCTGGGCAAGGACCCCATCACCCCACTGATGCCCAGCCTGTGCCCACAGGTACTTTGTGAGTTTTGTCCTACAGTTCCAGTTCCACCAAGCCCTGTGCAAGGAGGCAGGCCACCAGGGCCCGCTGCACCAGTGTGACATCTTCCAGTCCACCCAGGCGGGGGCCAAGCTCCGGTGTGTGGGTGGCAGGGGAAACCAGTGGCAGGGTGAGGGGAGAGGTTGGAGAAGGCACTGGCTCCCCGTGGGGGCAGCACAGGGTGGGACTGATGGAGGTTGCCTCCCCATGCCTGGCATGGGGCAAAACTAATGTCCCCTCCCCCTTCCCAGACCTCCTAGGGTCTGAGTCTTAATGATACTGCTTCACTGGGGGGCAGAGGCGGCCAGAGGGTGGGGCGTGTGGGCCTGGGGGCCGGGAAGGGACACCAGCCTGAGTGCCCCCTGCCCACGGTGCCCGCTCTGCCTGACAGGAAGGCACTGCAGGCAGGCTCCTCACGGAACTGGCAGGAGGTGTTGAAGGATATGATTGGCTCAGATGCCCTGGACGCTCAGCCACTGCTCAACTACTTCCAGCCCATCAGCCAGTGGCTGCAGGAGCAGAACCGGAAGAACGGCGAGGTCCTGGGCTGGCCAGAATATCAGTGGCGGCCACCAATGCCCAACAATTACCCAGAGAGCATTGGTAACGCCCTGGATGAGGGTGGGGCTGGGCCCTAAGGCAAGGTCTCAGTTCTGGGCTCTGGATCCAGTCAGCCCCCCCAGCTGGGCCCTGGCACCTTGGCCTGGAGGGCCAGGCAGCCTCCTTAGCTCATCAGCAGGGCCTTGGGATGGGCATGTCTTTTCTCCAGCCTTCTAGAACCAGTATACCAGATCTGAGGCTGGCTGGGGATAGGCTGACCAGGCCCCCTGCTCTGTGGGGTCACACTGCAGGCTCCACTCTTATTGGCCAGGGCACAGTGGCTGCAGGGCTCTGCTCTCCTGCGGCCATGGGCCACCGTTGGGCTGCTCCAGGATTGCCCAGCCTTCTCTTCCTCCTCCTCCTGCTCTGCTGCGGGAACCCCGTGCTGGTCCCCAGTCAGGAGACCACCCTCCAGGTGACAACCAGCCAGGAATCAACCAGCAGCTGGACAACACCCCACCAGTCAATGACCAGCATCCAGACAACCCAGGGCCCAAGTGGGACTGGCTGGGGGCAGGGTGGGGCTATGAGGGTCGGGAGGCAGGGGTGGCAGCGGGCTCAGGCCAAATGCTGTAAGAGGGCAAGGGGAGACCTGTTTTCCTTCCACTCTGTCCCCCAGGCCTGGTGACCGATGAGGTTGAGGCCAGCAAGTTTCTGGAGGCCTATGACCAGAAATCCCAGGTGGTATGGAACGAATACGCTGAAGCCAACTGGAACTACAATGTCAACATCACCACAGAGACGAGCAAGATCCTGGTAAGGGCTCTCTCCACGCCTGACGTTCACACTCATGCATGCTTCCCCCCAGGGACCAACCCCTGAACCCCAAGGCAGAGCAGGCCACCCCCCTTCCCTCCCTCCCTTCCTGGCTGTTACCTCAGTGTGGGAGGCTGTCTGAATTTGTGGAAAATCCCAATGGAATATTTAAAACAATACTCACCTTCAGATTTGGATGGGCATATACTCAATGCCTAAACAAGTTGTCTTTCATTAACAATCTGTTGTTAGTAACAAAACAACCTGTACAAAAATAAGCAACACTAAAGATGATTTTCAAAAGATTGAAAGCTCATTTGCCGCCATAGTGAGGGCTACGCTTCCCTGCCACCCCGCTCTCCACCCCGCTCCCCACCTGCTCGGTGAGGCAGATTATACCAAGGCGAGCCACAGAGAACTGACATTTC